CATCGTTCGATCAGGAGAAGATTATTATTTTAAAAATTACTTTATTTATTTGATCAGTAAGTGCTAACTGATAACTTAGACAAAATGAATCGATTATGGAGTTTTTTATTTTTAATATTTTTATATTTTATCATTGTATTACTAGTATATAAAAGTATATATATATATATATATATATATATATATATATATATATATATATATATATATATATAATATTTTTTGATCTTATTGACATAATAGAAAAAACTGAACTGGTTATTTGAATAAAATTTTAATTTGATATTTAAATTAATCACCCATAAAATCGATGCATCTTTGCCAGCGCAGTGGTAGTTTATTGATGCCGTTCTTGAAGAAATGAACTGGACGGGTGAAGAACGGAAGTCTGTTGGCGCAAGGTCTAGTCAGTACGGCCTATGATGGAGAGCTTCCTACCCCAGCTTTTGTAACTTGGAGACCGTCTGTTATGCGGTATGAGGTCATACGGGGACGAGCGATTGACCGGAGCTGGTTGGAGACGTGCAAGCTTCTCCATCACTGTGTACAGTTCTTCACATTTGACAGTCCTACAGTCAAAATTTTATTTTCTATGGAAACACTTTCCCATTTTTTTCAATAATTAGTTGCTAAATTACAAATTTTTGGTTACATAATTGGCATTTAAGCGTGAATTTTGACTCTAAGCCTTTTTGTTTCTCCGATAAGTTGTAGTTCGGTGAAGCTGCAACCTAATTGACCATGATTTGTAATTTTTATGAAAAGAAGTGGCTTACGTCAATTATTATTCTCCTTATTATTTTTTCATTACTGCCTTTTTCAACCTCACAAGATATTTGTAACTGCAAAAAATAAAACTACGTATAAGTAAGTAAATCAGTAATATAGTGTTATGTATGATTCAGACTAAATAAAGGTTCCTAAAAATAGACGTAGATAAAGAAATTGCATAAAAAAATTACTCAAATAACACTGCAATAAACTTGTTAATTTTATAGGTAGTAACATATTAAAATAATAATGATTTCTTATATTTACGCGAACACTATACATGATTAAAACTACTTTTACGGATTTTATCGCGTTTATTTTTACTTTTTATTTACTTTTATTTTTAATTCCCGACGTTTCGGGCGCTTTCCAGCACCCATGATCACGGGGGATAAAATCCGTAAAAGTAGTTTTAATTAAAATAATAAGTTTTTTTAGGATATTTGTGTAAAACATAAAGGTTATATTATGTTCTAACTACGTTCACGCTTGCGAATATAAAACCGCGGAATTTCACTAGTTTTATTATCATAATAATAATTGACAACCCTACCCTAAGTTTGCCTTGATTGTACCAACTCAAACTCGTTTTAGAAGATCAAAACATAGAGAGAAAGATAGGAGACTATTTTTTATTTAATATGGTTCATCAAATCCGTAAAAATAGTTTAAAATACCCACACAATAAAATTTTGAAGTGCAGGTAAAATATCTGCGACCAACATTTGCACAATTCTGACGTTCACAGACGTTTCACAACTTTTTGCCAGAACCAAAAGTAAGCGCTGGCATGCGACAAAAATCGTACCATAAATAAAATAAAGTCTCTAGCTCGAGAGGAGAGGAGCCGTGGTAGCTTAGCGCTTGCTGAAATTTTCACAGTGCGCTAGCAAACCGGGTTCGATCCCCGCCGGCACCAATGAAATTGTAATTGTAATTTTAAGTGTTGATTTACCACGTGCTCAGTGGTGAAGGAAAATATTTTGAAGAAACCTGCATGTCTGAGAAATAAGAAAAAAAATATTTCGAAGATATGCGAAGTTTGTCAACACGCATTGGGGCAGCGCGGTCGACAATTCCTTTCCTAGGACTCTTTCAGAAATGAGCGGAGGCCTGTGCCCAGGAGTGCGACGCATATAGGCTATAACTTTAACTTTAACTCTAGCTCGAATAGCCTACTAATGAAATTCAAATGATCGGTTTAGGCAAAGTAAGGCTAGGTAAGTCAAATTATGGCATTTTACAGTACTTACTTAGATATCTTTTACCTAATCACAAGCACAAGTGTGTACCTAATCACAATACCTACTAAAGTATTTTGATTAGGTAAGTACACATTTGTGCACCATAATACCTACAAACCAAAAAGTTTAATTAACAAAAATTTACATCTTCAACCACTTCAGTTGAACCAAGACAGGTATACTGTAATTATATGGTTTCTTGACTCAAGTCGTTTACTGCCGTATCGTCATTGTTCGTATTTAGCCTGCAATAAAGAATAAATTATATTAGACCTTGCATGACAACAAAACGGAATTACTTCTAATAAATTATTTAGATACATATTTTAGCTATTATTTGAAAAGGTTCATATTATTTATAATATGGTAACCACAAAAAAATATCACATCAAATTTCATAAATTCTGGTTATAATTTCATAACTCTATGGACTCAAAAGTGCGCCCGACTTACCCATTATAATTTTCAATTATTGGTAAACTTGAATAATTGTCTTTGTCGTCAAATTCGCATTCAGGTAGTTTTCTTCTCCTCCTAAAATAAAAATAAACTATGTAATAACACGTAGGAATTTAACGGAATAAAAGTAAGTGAACTTTGCATAATACATCAAATTACTTACAGAATTTCATTCATCTTTAGAGCATTTTGACGTCGTTGACGTTTATTCTTCTTGAATTTAGGCATTTGCAATTATCAATCCACAAAATTATATTTTCATAATCGTAGCGTCTTTTTGTAGTAAAAAACACGTAAGCGCATCGGTTGGTAGGTACTCAAATAATATTATGTTAGCGGCGAAATACGGAACGTCGACGACGGCGACGAGCGACACAGCTACTTTGTACGAACGCCAAAGACATTTAATAGGTAGTAGCAATAGACCGGACATCAGTAACAAAATTGTCGTCTGTAACTTTTGTCCTATAGGATATTTCTCCGATTTTTGTCATTTAGTCGAAGTGACATCGTCAAAAGGTCAAGACGCTTTTATTTTATAAATTTAAAATTATTTTTAAAGAAAATATGCCTGTTTGTGCATTAAAGTATTGTAGATCACGATATGGAGCAAAAAATGAACGTGATTTCGGTTTATTATCGTAAGAATTATGTGTATTTACCAAATATTCTTTAAATTTTATTATTTCTAATAGATTGTTCGAGAAGAAAGAAAAATTATTGTAATAAGTGCCCTCTGTTATCCAGTAACGTCACTATTTATTTACAAATATGTTAGTGATTAACGATGTGCCTACAACGGATTTTAACCTTATGTTTAGTAGTGTTACCTACTGGGAAATAGGTAAAAGGTTTTCTAAATAAATATTCAGTGTAGTATTGCTATATTTCGCTAGAGGGTGTAATACATGCGCGTGGTGACAGCTTTTGTAAGTAAATGTTCCCAATGTCCGCTATATATATTTAAATCTCTTTGACGAACGCATACAGCCACAGACTACTAAGAGGATACATACAGGGTAATGCCGCCCGCACTCTGCGCACGCCCCTTTATTATAGAATTCACACACTTTCGGAATTATTTCAATTAAAAAAAGAAAAACGAACTTAAAAATTTTGAGTAAATCGTGGAGAATATAGATTTTAATTTAAATTATCTATCCATTAGTGTAATCCTCAAATGATTAGAGCGTTGTGTTTAGCAACAGATGCATGTAATCAATAATTTTAGTCATTTTTTAAAAGTTGATTTTAAATGTACTTATAGCACATAAAAATAAATTAGAACGTGGAATGTGGTGATAAGATATCGAACATTAATAATGTACTTTTAGATGTAGTTTATTTTTCATAACTAATGAGATAATAGAGTCTGAAAAACGCACTTTCGCAACATTTTGGCCAGGGATACTCCTTAACCAAAACTATTATCACTTAACCAAGTAATATGGTATTTTTTTTAATTTTTGCTAGAACTGGTACAACCTAGCTTATCGCCCCGTACCACGGAGTGAAGAGTTCCTTTACTCGTGTGCCCGTACCATTATCATTATACGTACTTAATACATTGTAACATGTATAGGTATAATATGATTCTACGTCACAGAATAAATAATAGCCTACATTTAGTACGTATTGATATGTACGTAGTAACACAGCATATACGGGGAATTCATTATAGACGGACTTGCCCACTGGCATGTCTGCGGACATGCCTGCCGGACTTCGCTACTATAGGTCTGCGAAAAGTTTGATAGTGTAGGACCGTCACAGTCCGTCTGGCAGATTTGCCTGTTGAAATTTGGCTATTCACAGACACAAGAGCGACAGCAGCCAGTGATGACGGCCTTTTAATATTATTTATCGAACTTTGGAAATTTTTAATTTGCTATGAGTTTAAACGATAATAAAATATTCCGTAAAATATAAGAGTTTATACGACTCTATATGCATGCGCAAGTAATTGTAAAGGTCTCTTGGTTCATCAATATCTAATACTTTAAAATATAAATTGTTATGGCTTAACTTATTTTTATTTTTATACCATTATTTGCACTAAATTAACAATACATAAATAACTAGCTTGCCAGGCAGACGTTGTTCTACCCTTTTCGACGACCCTTTGTCACGTCCTATTAAAAATTCTTAAATTCGCAAAAAAAAATATGGGACACTCATGAGCAAAAAAAAACTATCCTATCTTTCAAGTTGGACCAAATTACACACGGTGTGAAAATTTTATTAAAATCGGTTGAGTAGTTTAGAGGTCCATCGCGGACAAACAACGTGACACGTAATTTATATATATTTAAGAGATAAACATTGCAAGTCTAGGTTGTCATCTTAATGTATACGTATGACTAATCACGTAGCTAGTCTAAAACAAACTGACAGGTCTGTGTAATTGCGGCGACAGACATGCCCGGACAAACAGCCCGTGGGCAATCAATGGGCATGTCCGTCTAGTGAATTCCTTGCTTTATGACGTTACTAAGCAACGGGAATTGTTTACAATTATAATTGTTAATGTTTGGTTTGCTTTGCATCCATTTTACAATTTATTTAAACCCTGTACTTCAGAATTCTGTAATGGCAAGTGAGGGACCAGCTAATACTAATAACGGTAAGCATTTACATACAAATGTTATATTTTACATCATTAAATCCCTTCACAAGGCAATCGCTGAACATATTATGCCTTCTCCAAGGAATGCCATAATCACTGTCCTTAGTTTAAATTAGTATCGGTTGCCTCGCTTATTTATATTACTTATTTTTATTAAGACATGATTTTTAAAGGGCCGGCAACGCACCTGCAATTCCTCTGGTGTTGCTGATGTTCATAACCGGCGATAGTCACTTAACATCAGGTGAACCGTACGTTCGTTTGCCCCCTCTTCTATAAAAAAAGACGCACGATCAATAGCATTGGCCAACGTGTAGAGCGGGTGTTTGGGCTTCATTTGTATGTATTGGAACGTGGGCCCACAAGTTGGCGCGAGATCCGTGTGGTGTCCGTGTGGAGTTTGGTCGCCGCGTCCACACGTTGGCCGCGCGTTTAGTTTGCTACAGAGTGATTACACGCACCTGATTTAAATTTTATGTTCACGCTTTGTAGGGTGGATGCGGCCCTATTACCAGCCTCTTAGTGCCAATTTCAACTTTAAACATTTCTACTACTTTAATTAGAGCTTTTTTTTAATGGATAAGCTATTTATCAAAAAAATAATGAATATTTATTTATAATCAGATTATTACGAGAACAATTTAAAAATAAAATAAAAAACGAAGCATGTCGTTTATACGTGGAAGAGCTATGCTGCAGTTATATTAGAAGTGTAGTTGTAGCACGAATAGGTCGGTTCGACCGCGCTCTCACAGAATACCAGCATAAAATAGTAGCTTAATGCTGCTGTTTCGTATTTTATTTTATTTTTAAATTGTTCTCGTAATAATCTGATTATAAATAAATATTCATTATTTTTTTGATAAATAGCTTATCCATTAAAACAAATGTTTAAAAATAATTAAATCGCGCTAATTAAGGAAGTAGGAATGTTTAAAGTTGAAATTGGCACTAAAAGGCTGATAATAGGGGCATCCACCCTACAAAGCGTGAATATAAAATTTAAATCAGTTGCGTAAAATCACTCTAAGAGCTTGTAGCAAACTAAACGCGCGGCCAATGTGTGGATGCGGCGACCAAACTCTGCCAACAATCCTTTGATCTTTTGTAAAAAAACCGACACCACACGGATCTCGCGCCAACTTGTGGGCCATCGTTCCAATACATACCAATGAAGCTCAAACACCCGCTCTACACGTTGGCCAATGCTATTGGCCACTACATTCGCCACTGTGTTGGCCAACGTGTAGAGCCGCCATTAGGCAAACGGACTTTCCCCCCGAGTTTACTCAGCTTATGCTGTCAGCGAAAGAAAAGCGCTTGGCGCCGTAATTTGCCACAGCCCACAACATAAGGAACTTTTTTTTTACTGTAATTTATAAACAATTTTTAAATGTTATATCCGTCAAATTGTTGTCTTTTTTATGTTGTTTTGTGAATCGATGTGTCTAGAAATGTTAAAATTTATGATGTTTGTGGCCTGTTGCAATAAATGTTTCTTTCTTCTTTCGTTCTGTATATAAAAAAATTATAGATTTTTTTTATATACAGAACGAACGAATCTTAACGAACTTATTATGATTCATAGAAATTCAACAAATATTTAAAAAATACTTTTACGATAAGTGCGTCATATCAAGTTCAATCTGAGACACCATTACTCATCTCAATAACTTAAATTCCCTAGTGTCCCGCCTGATTATAAGTGGTAATGCACTCAAAGGTAGGAAAACGTACTTGATTAACAAAACCTTTACCACGTTTCAGCCTATCATAGTCATTAAAACATAAATATATTCACCTTTTTATGAAAAATGAATAAGTTGAGATTTTATTTGGAAAGCATTGGACCAAACCATTTTTAAGTGCAAAATTATCGGTATTCCAAAAAATCGCTAAAATAATATGACGCTTATCTACATTCTAGAACAATTCAAGTCTTGCGTAATTTTCGTTTGTAACTTCCCATGAAATGTTAAACAGCAGCTATTGGCCTAGACTAAAAATTATGATTATCCTAGTCAGTTATTTTTAATTGGCGATGTTATGTACCTATACATTGTTATGTATATATTTTTACATAAATCTAAAGTAGAAACTAATGGTGATAGTCTGGGTTTATTTAAAATTTAGCTTACTGACTTCAAAACTACTCTCAACTAAAATAACAATTGAAAAAAGCTATTCGATGAAACTTTAAAATGTTAATCAACTTGTAATAAAAGAAACTAAACGAATTTCTTTTCTAGTGGAGGAAGAATTAGAAGAAGAGCATTTGGATGAAGAATCCATTCTTACGGAGTACGATCCTGATGATTTTCTGTCGGGTGCTGTTAACAGCTTGGACTCAACAGTTCCCTCGAATTTTTTAGAGTTTGAGTATCCTTTACATAAAACCTAAAAAGTTAACCATTTAATTTGGTCTCAAAAATCATATCACATATTACATGTTCAATTGTAACATGTATGATTAAAACTACTTTTACGGATTTTTTTCGCGTTTATTTTTACTTTTTATTTACTTTTATTTTTAATTCCCAACGTTTCGGGCGCTTTCCAGCACCCATGGTCACGGGGGACTGAGATGACAGACGTCCCGATGTCATTGTTAAACCCGGAGTACCTTCAGCTTTTTCAATTATTGTTTATGGTCCGATCTATGCAAAATGAACTGACTATGTCCTGAGGTCTTGCAGTGGTATGCTTGGGTTTAGTTTTAATTTTATTGATTATAGGATCCCAAGCAGGTGGTAGTACCCAGCCTCCTTCTCTATTGAAATTAGGATGTTTTTTAATTTCAATAGCCTCACGTATCATCCTTGGTAGGAATCGGTGTTCTTTCGCGAGGATTTGTGGTCTATCAAATCTGATGTAATGGTTGGGTCCGTCTAGGATATGATCACAAACTGCAGACTTCCCGGAACGTTGATGCTTCACATCAGCTATATGTTCTTTTACGCGGGTCCTAATTGATCTTTTTGTTTGTCCTATATAAGAGACGTCGAACGTCGAAACGACGACGAAACGTCGGGAATTAAAAATAAAAGTAAATAAAAAGTAAAAATAAACGCGAAAAAAATCCGTAAAAGTAGTTTTAATCATGTATAGTGTTCGCGTAAATATAAGAAATCATTTTTATGTACCATGTATGTTTTAATAAAAAAGTAAGAGTTACAAACTGTAAAAAGTTATAAACTGTACTGTGCAGTGTTGCTCACACACTCTGTTATTTTCGATAAAGCTTAAAACAAAGTGATAAAGCATAAAATGAGCCGTGGTAGCTCAGATGGTTAACGCTCGCTGTAAATATAATAATAGAACGCGAGTAACCCAGATTCGATCCCCGCCGGCACCAATTAAATTGTTAATTGCAATTTTAAGTGCTGATTTATCACGTGCTCGGCGGTGAATGAAAACATCGTGAAGAGCCTGCATGTCTTAGGAATAAGAAAAAAATATTTCGAAGACATGTGAAGTTCGCCAACATGCATTGGGGCAGCGCGGCTGACACTTTCTTGCCCTAAAACCCTCTCAGAAATGAGGGGAGGCCTGTGCCCAGCAGTGGGACGTATATAGTCTGTAACTTTACTTTACTTTTATAAAATAAAGATGTGCTTTAGTGACTAATATGGAATACCTAGTTATCAGCAAACTGTACAGCAATAAGAAGAAGCACATTACATCTATCGGTGAACTTACTATAATGAAACGCTCACCTAGCTGATTGGTAGTCCCAGTCGACCGTTTAGCTTTATTTCATTAAGTGAATAAAACGGGCTGAACTGAACCAAATGGCATGGCTTTTTCAACTTTATAACATTCCTTAATTGAGTTCAGATATTCTTACGGCTACAATTGTCACAAATACTTCAATTTATGTGCATGTGATGATACGGTCGTATGTTGGGCTGCTGGCAGCATTATATCCTTTATGGACGTGAACACTAAACAAACCTGGTTCCGCAGAAGTAGCACAGGAGGCTCGATCGGAAACATTACGGCAAGGCTACTAATACTATTATAATCACGATAAAACTAGGTACACTGTTCATTAGGAACATTAGGGGTGATGAATAAATTATATTTAACACAAGCTGTAACCGCGATTTCTTACACGGAAACATGTATATCGTCTAAGCATTATTCTGATGTATACAAATGAAAGTTTGTCGTGTATTAGGTATAATAAATTCTTATTAATCTTTAATTACATACATAGGTACGCACTGGAACAGCGCGGTAAACAAAATTGATCCATAACTCCATTGATCCGAATCGGGTGATTCGGGTCAATCAATCAAATGGGTCATTTGAGTATCATTACTCTGTGAGACCCGCTCGATAATGTCGATCGTCGGAAATGACTCATACTCATTACTCATTACAGCCCTTCACAAGTCCACTGCTGAACATAGGCCTCCCCCAAGTAACGCCACAAAGCACGGTCCTGAGCCACTTGCATCCATCGACTTCCTGCATGTCTTACCAGGTGGTCACTCCATCTAGTGGGGGGTCGCCCTACACTACGCCTACCGGTACGAGGCTGCCACTCGAGAACCTTTCTTCCCCATCGGTTATCGGTTCTTCGAGCTATATGGCCGGCCCATTGACACTTCAGATTACTAATCCGTTCGGCTATGTCGGTCACTCTGGTTCTACTGCGGATATCCTCATTTCTGAGTCTATCACGCAGAGAAACTCCGAGCATAGCCCTCTCCATAGCTCAGAAATGACTATAACACAGTTAATATATAGGAAATTTATACTGTGACTAAACTCTGATCGTAGGTCCTGTCAATCGTTTGATCCGGAACATTTAACCGGGTCAAATGAACGAATCATTCACCATTGACACGCGTTTAAAAGACTCAGGCCTGGAAAAATGTTTTGAAGGCCATCTAATTTTAGTTTTAGTAGTTTAATTTTTGTCTATAGATTTAAATATCCATTAACAAATATTAACAGTAAACGATTTACTGACATATTTATATTATTTTCTAACCTCAAATCGGTAAATCTTACGTGGATACTTTAGATTATTTACTTACTTAGGCTTTGAAGTTACATACAAATCCTGTGCTTAAATTAACCTATTTTCGTAGCAACCACCAATTTCACCCTTTAATCATCTCTTACTGAAACCATAGTTGTAAGCATTAGGAACTATGTTAGTTGCAGTTATTATGTTGTTGACTGCTTCGTTATTCTAGTGATCGTAAACGCGACTGTTGTTCATGAGGTTTCGCGGTTGAATCCCTGGTTGGGCCAAAAAATTAGATATGGAATTTTTCTGTGAATAAATTTTCAGAAGCAACTCTGAATCAGGAAGTTGTCGACGTTTCACCCCCGTGCCTTAGAAAGTAAAGCTGTTGGTCCTGCACCCGATCTCTCTTCGTTTGTGTTGGTTTACCGACCCATCAAATTATGAGAGTGAGAGAATACACTCGGGCACTTTAATCCTGTTCTGCGTAGATGACTAGCCTCCGTTGAGGCTGGCCGCTGTGACCGAAATTCGTTCTGGAGGACATTATGTTGCTGTAGCTGACTACACAGGTTTACTGAGATCTGGCGCTGCAATCTTCAATCCGCCAGGTGTGTCGACTAAGGCAAATCTTTCCTTCAACATTAGAGACCCATGTTCAGCAGGGGCATTTTCTATTAAAGAAATTAATTGTTTATAAAAAAACAGTCTTTGTGTATGACATTTAAAAAAAATTGTGTTTTAATTTATTTAAGTATAACAAATTTTTTAAATTTCAATTTTTTTTATACGTGGTAGAGGCATACTGCCGTTATATTAGTAGTATAGTTGTAGCACGAATGGGTCGGCTCGACCGGGGAAGGACCACGCTCTCACAGAATACCAGCGTCAAGTAGTAGCTTAATGCTGCTGTGTTTCGTATGGTGAGTGTATAGAACCGGAGACCCGACCCGAAACGAGGCATTCCACCTAAGTCCTCACGGATGACAACGCATCTGCATTTTGATTCATAATCGAGGATAGATGTAGACGTCTGTGGGCCACAGCAACCACTTACCATCAGGTGGACTGTGTGCTCGTTTGTCATCCTATCCTATAAAAAAATCAAGTATCACTTGGTGTTTTTTTCCCCTCTCCATAACTTTCAACTCCATTTTTCCCTTATTGCGATTATATTTGCGATTGCCTGGTCTCTGTATCTTATTGATATTTAATTTCTTCTGCATAGATTTGCATTCCATTTTTTTAAAACAATAATTGTATCAACCCAAGTACGCATACAACATTTCATCACACAAGCGACAGATTCATATGTATCGTACAACTACAACTGAATTTGCCTAGGCTCGCTGCATCGATCCTTCGTCAAAGACAAAGTTCAGAGTCTAAAATTCTATAAAAGTCACATACAAAAGACAGTTTCAAGGAGGCAATATTTTAGGGAAAAATTAAATAATGAAAAATCTAAAAATTAGCTCTTACTGAATAGGCTTCTGATTAAAATATTAAGAACACATTTGTGGGTACACACAAGCCAAGGTTACAGAAAGGTATAAAAAATTAAGCATTTATTCAAATTCTTTTAATACAATTATAATAAAAGACATTTGTCGATTTTATACTTAATACTACTTAGATAGATGAAATAAATGAAATTCCTGTCTATTGAGGATAGCTATCTATCTTAGACCGCAATTTAAATATTGTAAACTGCCGTTAGTGACAAGCCCAGAAAACCTTGTCGCCTCTAATAGATGGCATTATTTTATCACAGAAGCAGTATCCATTATCTGGTGCAGTTATCGCTAGTCCGCATGTCAAGCAAAACCGATTACGGAATGGCAATTGAATATGAATATGGATTTTTACAAACATGCTCGTTTTATCAATTTACTTTTCAAGCTGTTTTCTTAACAATAAAATTGTTCTTCATTCATCTAATTTACGAGATTTTATTTAATATTACAGTCTTACAGAGTAGATCCGAATTACCGCATAGCCATAGCAGAAGACAGAGAAGGTGGCCGAGATCCGTTGATCCTGCTTTATACCTGGCCGCAGATGGAAATAGATGCAGTGTTACGCGACGGAACAACTAATGCCTATTCTATACTAGACTTCAGGTAAAAACATGAAAAAAAGGTACTGCAGTCCTCTGACGCCCGTAATCAACCTTAAATAAGAAGGCTGGTGATACCTTGTCACTAAAATCAGATGTCTACTAACATCAAATGTCTCACATCCTGTATTTATCCGGCTATATTAACCATATTGGGGCACTGCTACTTAGCGGCAAAAAGTAGGTATGAGTTTGACATCAACACAGAAGGACACAACGTACTTTGACGGCCTATCAAAAGTTAACTGCGGGTCATAGGCCTCTCCCGTAGGTTGCCTCATAGGAAGGACATTTACCATAATGCCTCGCTTGGCAACCGCGTTGGCAACCGCAGTTTTTTATTTTTATTCTGCTAAATAGCATCTTCCTGAAAATTCAGGAAGATGCTGCTGCCCCCTAGTTCAGTTGTCGTCTGTCTTACGACATCCACGGAATGATATGGTGTGGTGGATAGGGTTGCCATCTTTTTGGAGTGAATATAGTATATATACTTTACTGAGCTAAAAACTAAAGTACGACGAGTGAAAATAAAGTATTATTTGTTTGCATGCTATTTTATTATACACAATATCTTCACATTCTATGTCTAAGTTAAGATTATACTCTGTTCCTCTGTTTTAACGCTAAAGTGACGGGAATTAATAGCAGACATGCGCACAATTTTGTATATAAATTTACAAAATTATTACTACATAGAAAATATTTTGCTTGTATATAATTCGTTATTTTAGTAAACATAAAAACAAAACCTTGAAAATTGTTAAATAGGTAAAATAAAGTATTTTTATGTTCTTTTTTGGTCTCATAAAGTATAAAGTATTTATATGATGAACGTACGAAATTACGTACAATACGTTATTATAAAGTACGGGTGGTAACCCTAGTGATTGATGTTCTTACACTGCCGCTACTCGATTATTTCTTTTCTAAACTTAAGTTCATTATGTTATTTTTTATATTTTTATATTATTAATTAACAGTAGTCTAATGGTATTGCTAGAAATTAAATTCTTCGCTTCTTGAACTTTACTTATTTTGATTAAAGTTTTATAGTACTAGACCATAATTCAAAAAATGTTAGTAAACATTTTCACCTTATAATTATGTTAGCAATGCTATAACACTCGTTTTCCTAATTCTGATCTGAGTTTAACTCAACATTATAGTCCTGATGGTGAGCTGCTTGCTTCAGTGGGAAAAGAACCTGATTATAATTTAACTATTTGGAATTGGAAAAGACATAAAATTCTTTTAAGAACAAGTGCTTTTTCTTTTGATGTTAGCACTGTCATGTTTTCGAAATATTGCCCTGGACAATTAACTACGGCCGGTAAGTAGGATAATTGTGTATTGGATATAAGACTAGTAAGTGGTAACTATTTGACTTTTTAAAAAGGTGAAGCTGGAACTTGTGTAGGACGAAGTCTATTCGTTCCACTAAATCTAACACATCGTCTCGGTTATTTTCGAGCCTCATTGATATTTATAGAACACGGAAAGTTTTTTTTTATTGGAATAATATTATTTAAAAATATAATCAAGTAAAAAACAAAAAAGCGGAAATTTAATGCCTATTGGCGTTTTCTGCCGTTTAAACCTGGATGCGGTGAGGATTATGGTAGGGGTGGTAAATATATTATGTAGAATTGTTTATTATGATATTATTAACTTTGAGTATTAAATCATTGGTTGAATACTCAACGATTAATAATAAAGTACTTGTTTTGATACTCGATGTACTGGGTCTAAACGACTTAACCAATTTTAATCAAATTTGCACACCGTGTGCAGTTTGGTCCAACTTGAGAGATAGGATAGTTTTTTTTGCCCATGAGTAACCCACAACTTTTTTGCGAATTTAAGGATTTTTAATAGGACATGACAAAGGGTCGTCGAAAAGGGCAGAACAAAGTCTGCCTGGCAAGCTAGTAATATAATAAATATCAACGATTTATATATTTTTATTCAGTTACAACAATTTCATTATTTTATTTATATGGTTAAAGCGAACAAAAATAAAATACATAATTCACTAAACTTAAATGATAAGTGGTATACTCCACAAATGATATTATAACAATAAATAAGGATATAATTTACAAGGTATACTAATGTTCTGATCGAATTTTAAGGGATTATTAAGTATATTAAAAGTTTAATTCACTCGTTTTTCACAACTAACTCTAAAGATCTGATGATGACTTTTATTTAGGAGTTTTATAACCTAAACTAGTGACCGGACACTAAGAAATGCCTTAATATTTGACCTAGCGTACTATTAATAACAATTTTTACAAACGTTTAAATTACATCTAGCAAATATGGGTAAGAGTAAACTTTTTACGCATTTCATTTTAGGTGCGGCACACATAAAGTTTTGGAAAATGGCTCACACATTTACTGGGTTAAAATTGAAAGGAGAACTTGGCAGATTCGGTAAAACTGAGATTTGTGACGTCCTGGGAGTATACCCTATGCCAGATGAAAAGGTGCACATAATATAAGTTTATAAAACTTAAAATAATCTTATAATGTTGCCATACAGATTCTTAGCTGCAAAATTTAGAAAAACTTGATCATTATTGCCACCTTTGAAACTAATAATTTTGAAACCTTTTTCCAACAAAAAATATGGAAACATCTTTACAATAGGTAAATTTTTAGCAACAATCCTTTTTCTTAAAAAAAAAGAAAAATCCTTATTTATTAAAAGGGAACCTTATTTATTGTTTTCATAAAAGTTTTCATCTATACATCCGGTCATTACAGCCTATGAAAGTTCACTGCTGAACGTAGGCCTCCCCCATAGATTAACTCATAGGGCCAAGTAGGCAACTGCAGTTTTTAATATTTAGAGTTTTTATGAGGAAGATGCTGCTTTCCTCCCTTCGACTTTTGCCCTTACGACACCCATGTGATAATATGGGGCAGGGGGTATGTTCTTACACCGCCACTACACGGTACATAAAAGGTTATGTACATATAATAATAATTATTATTTATTTATTTAGTATACATAGTAACAAACAAAAGTACAAACACAACACTAACAAAAAAAACACGTAACAAGTCATAAAACGTCATATTATGTACTTTATTGAGAAACTTCTATTCATTCTTACTTTTAAAGTGACATAAATGATTAATACAATACAACGACTTAATGGAGTTTATTTATTGAAGTACATGGAACTTTTACATAAAGATAATTAGAAATTTAGATTGGCGTTAAGAAATTATAGATACAAGGAAATCAGCCTTTTAATTTTTTAAGTTAAGTAAATATTTTTAACAGGCTATACCAAACTTTCGATAATATGTTTTTTGATATCTTTATTAGTTAAAAAAACAGCTATAGGCGGTTAAAATAACACTTCCATTCTTATATCTGTGAAATATTTCTTCAGGTGCTCTCCGGTTGCGAGTGGGGCAATATTCTGGTATGGGAAGCTGGACTTGTCAAATTGGAAGTAACACAGCGTGGTCGAAAAACTTGTCACAAAGCACCAATAGTATGTACAATTTTCTATTTCGCGTATTTAATTCTGGAATCTAGCCACATATTATTAACAAAATTGTAATATTATAGCATTTCAGAACCGTTACCTAGCCAGACTATTAGGCTACCTCATCGTGGGTTTTGAAATCAACATTCGTGCGCCACTAATATGATAAAAAATAAATTATTTGTTGGTTTATAAGTCTGGTTGTATTGGATTGATCACATGTTCTTATATCTCTGTATATCTCTGTTAAGTACTACATCCTTGAGCCCGTTCTTGTGGCATAAGCATAGCATGCACAGCATTCGTCGTCGAGTTGCTTGTTATTAGTTCTTTCCGTAATTTATACTCGTTTATAATCAAATTCAGAAACGCCTAACCCAATCATCAACTACATGACATGTAGTTGGTAGTCGCGCTTGTAAAAAAAAATATTGACGCATATTTTGGTGAAATTCGGCGGCTAGAATTAAACCGAACAATTATTTAGAGTCGTTGTAAATCCCGCTCTGCGCTGGATCTGGTAAAGTGTAAGGAACAGGCACTGGGGCTCCACAAAGCTGAGAATAGTATTTCATGTGAGGCCGAAACTGCGCCTTCTAAAGTTGCAAACCGTGTTCTGGCATGAAATACTGTCCCCTCTGCTAAGCACGCCAAACTTTTTAGAGGCCAATCTTCTCGACTGTACATCATTCGATGCGAGGGGCGGCTGAAAAGTTTTGAGCCTAAGTACCTTCAAGTCTCATTACTGTCTCGCACTGTGTTATTAATTTACGAATACCTTCCTAAGTATACATACAGAGTTTAACATCATTAGCATCATTACGCTTTTAGTAATAAATCCGTAAATCGTCATCATATCTCAGTCATCCGCGCATTGTACGAAATTGGAGTACAGAGCTGTCATAAAATTCCTCACAAAGAAGAACAAAACGCTGACGGAAATATTTGAAGAGATGTCAACAGTGTACGGAGAGTCTATACCTTATTTTGCTACCGTAAAACGTTGGAACCGAGAATTTAAGCATGGCAGGAAGTCGCTAGAAGATGACCTCAGTCAGGGCAGCCAAGCACTCCCGTTAACGAAGAAAATATTGAAAAAGTAAAGAAACTTGTCCTAGAATAACGGCGAATCAAGTTGCGGCAGATAGCTGATGCGATAAGCATTAGCAAGGAATGATTCGGTGATATTTTGTGTACTCATTTGCACATCTAAAAGGTGTTCGCACGATGTGTACCAAAAATGCTTACTCCGCTGAACAAGCAGCATCGAGTCACAACTTCGCAGGAGTTTTTGGATATCTGTGGCGATATTCCTGACGATTTTTTTTTTCTTACATTGTCACTGTTGATGAAACATGGATCCAGTGATCCAGATAGCAGTACGATGCAGATTCAAAACAGTTAATGCAGCGAATTGAAAAGGGAGAAAATCCGTCACGGAAATTCAAAGTGAAGCGATCGGCATCCAAGCTCATGGCCAATATTTTATGTCACTGTAAAGAAAATTTATTAATTGACTATCTTCCTAAGAATAATATAATAAACGGGGATCGTTACGCTGTTTTGTTGATAAAAGTGCGTCAAGTGAGAAGAAGAGGCAAACTCGCAAAAGGAGTCCTGTTTTTGCAGGACAATGCACCCGTGCACACTGCGCGAGTTGCATGGCGTGCTCTGAACAAAACTGGATTTAAGGAAATCAATCACCCCCCAAAGATTTTCGCTTATTTTCAAATTTGAAGAAAGACCTCCGCGGACGAAGATTTTTGAGTGACAAAGAAATGAAGGCAGCGGTAGACGAGCACTTCGGAGGCAAAGATGACGAATATTTTTTCACTGGGTTAAAATCCCTTTTTCACAAATGTAAGTATTGCATTGAAGTAGAGGAAGATTACATAGAAAAATATAACAGTGCTAAATTCTATTAACTCATTCGTTGTTACAGTCCTTTATAAGTCCATAGCTGAACATAGGCCTCCCTCAAGGAATGCCACAAACCACAATTCCTGCATCCATCAACTTCCTGCATAGTTTATCAGGTCGTCACTCCACATTGTAGGGCCACCCAACACGAGCCACTCGATAACCTTTCTTCCCCATCGGTTGTCGATTCTTAGAGCTATATGGCCAGCCCAATACCACTTCAACTTATTTATCCGTTGTACTCTGACGTTTACTCTAATTTTACTGCGGATATCCCCATTTCTAAGTTTATCACGCAGATAAACCCCGACAGTAGCCCTCTTCATAGCTCTTTGATCAACTTTGAGCTCCTTCATATGGCCAGCAGTGAAAGACCACGTCTGAGATGTATAAGTCATCACTAGCAACACGCCTTTGTACGTGGTGGAGCCATGCTGCAGTTATATTAGTAGTATAGTTGTAGCACGAATGGATCGGCTCAACAGGGGAAGGACCACGCTCTCACAGAATACCAATGTGAAATGGTAGCTTGATGCTGCTGTGTTTCGTACGGTGAGTGTAGAGAACCGGAGACCCTTTTTACTGGAAATGAGGCATTCCATCTTAGTCCTCACGGATGACAGCGCATTTGCATTTTGATTCGTAATCGAAGATAAATGTGGACATCGGGTGGACTGTGTGCTCGTTTGTCACCCTATCCTATTAAAAAAACGCACGAGTTGTACAATATAGTTTTGAGATTTTAATTTATACCTGACGAGAAGATGTGTTGTAACCTCCCGAACGCTGCGCGCGTTGAATCCGTCGATTGATCACTCAGTCGAATTTGGACTAGCCTAGTCGCTCTATTTGTCATAGGTAAACATCTCATCAACAACTTCGAGCTTAGTACTCCCAGAAAACTACCGGTATAGGTGTGACATGGACGTTACACATAACTTTTCTTCTGCCCATGTTCATCTTCAGACCTATGTTGGGAGACACTAGTGAGGTCATTGAGCAATTTTGCCTCCTCCGATTTGTCCTCCAGCGATTTTGCCGTAAGGACCATATCGTCGGCAAATCGAAGGTTAGTGATGTACTCGCCATTGATGTTAATACCGTATTGTTTCCAGTCCAGTAGCTTGAAAACGTCTTCTCATGCATCGGTAAAGAGTTTCGAGGATATAACGGCAAACTGTCTTACACCTCCCTGCAGTTGGATAGGTTTCGTTCTCTGTTCTGTCTTCGGATATCCATCGTAGCCCTAGTGTACGAACACCTCACCATTTCGATGTACTGGTAGTCAACTTGGCATCGACGAAAAAACGACAAATTTCGACGAAATCAAAGGCTTTCTGATGGTTCACATACACAAGACAAAGTAGCAGATTGTATTCTTTGATTTTCTTTCCAATTGTCCGGTGATAAAGCCCCTTCGGAAAATTGCTTTTCAGGAGGCTGGAAATCGTTGAGTCAGCATGCGAGACGACTTGTAATTATCTCTACAACAAGACGTAGACGCGGCTCAGAAGGTAAATCGGTCTGCAGCTCTTTGAGTGACTATTGTCGCCTTTTTTTGAAGAACAAGACCACCGCATATTGTTTCAAGCCACGGGAGTGTTGCGGAATTAAACAGCTTCTGAAGAACTTCAAGTACTAGTTTTCCGCCCGCTTTCGGAAGTTCCGCTGTAATTTCATCCTCGCCCGGAGCCTTGTCGTTTTTAAGTTGCTGGAAAGCCATTCTAATCTCACTCAGACCGACGACTAAAATATCATTGGAATAGTGCTGACACTAATCTTATCCGAATAAGGATTGCTTTTAGATCGTTACTCACGCTTGCATGCGGCTACAATGATGATGTTTACAGCTGCCCAAAAAACCTCTCGATCTCACTAAAAATTCAGATTCGATCTTCAGCTATAAATAACAATAATTTAACAGATAAATTCTGTTGAATTATTGTAAGTGTATAATTTAATAATCTTAATAGAACTTAAAATAAATGTATGTTTGTATGAGTGCGCGTTCTTCCGTTTATGTACGCAGACCATTTTACGTAACCATCCATGAATATTTTTTTTATAAGATTTTATTATAAGAAACTAGTAAAAAATTAGTGTTTCCGTTTCTTCCAGATATCGTAAACTCGACAATGATTTACGTACTTTTGCATTACAGTGTTTGCAAGTAAAACAAAAAGCAAAAAAAAATCTTTATCGAGTATACCTACACTTCAAACAAGAGTTTCATGGGATTTATCTTAATCTTACGAAATCAATTGCACTAAGGTAGATGACTGTACAATTCTCTGGATCCGAACCAGTGGTTAACTAACCAGTTTTTATACTAACTATTTTTCTCCGTTTTATTTACTCTAAATTCGTTAAAATGTGTTAATCATATCGTAAAAAATATATGCTGGTGATCATATGTCATATAGTTATTCGTAACATTTTAAGTAAGTGCAGTTGTAGTTTTTCTGTATTAAAAACATCAGACACGAGTAGGCAAGAACTAGAATGTATGCCATACAGTATCGCCGCCAAAGTATTTTATTTAAAGAATAATCAAGGATTTGCAAGACGATGCAGTGACCAAGATTAAGAAAGGAATGCTTCGGTGGTTTGGTCATGTAGAAATAATGAATGCGGAAAGACTGACAAAGCAAATATATGTTGCAGAAGTGAATGGAAGAGTCGGAAAGGGACGTCCTAGGCGGAAGTTTGTCGACCAAATTGGCGATATACTAAAAATGGGCCAAATTAAGAGTACCCTTAACCGACGAGCATGTATGCGTAGGTATATGGATGTGGAAGAGGCGAGAGAGGTATGTCAGGATCGTGCTAAGTGCAAGTCTCTCTGCCTACCCCTCTGGGTGACAGGCGTGAGTGTTTATGTAATAATCAAGGACACAAAAATTCCAATCACTTTTCAAAAATGTGAGGTGGTCCGAGCCCAGTAGTAAAACTTGTTTAAATCTTACTTTGTATGAAATTATCTCGACGCTTTTAGTCTGCTCCAACTTAGCTTAAAAAATTCCAGATTCAGTTTATGCTAAGTCCGGCGGGTGACGAGGTAACAACTATATCTCGCGATGGTTGCGTTCGGGCCTGGTATTGGGACACAGTAGATCAAGCTGATCCACCCGAGGATGATCCTTACGTCGAGCTAAACCCTGTTGCGGAGACTTGTGTAAGACTTCTCAAGCTTCTAGCATTTAAATATCTTTACATCATTAAAAAATTATATCACAAACAATGATTTTTTAATAATTTATTTTAGGTGCCCGGTTGCCAAATCATGTGCCTTAAACATCAAAAAGATATGTACTGGTATGCTCAAGTAAGTTTAATTTCAAATCAAAAGGTTAAATGCAGAAATTATTAATTAAAATATTCATCTATCAAACTATTAACAGTTCATTGAATTTTGCCAAATTTTTGGCATACTTGTATATTTATAGTTTATTCGTGTAGTGGCGGTATATCCACTAACACATTTAAACCCGTGTTTTGTAAGAGATGACAGTGGGAAACTGCAGCAAGAGATGGGCAACAGCATCTTTTTTCTTTTTTTATATAGAAAGATATTTATATAGATTTTTTATATAGGTTACAAACGAGCACACAGTCCATCTGATGGTAAGTGGATGCTGTGGCCCATAGACATCTACATTTATCTTATTATCGATTAAGAATCAAAACGTAGGTGCGTTGTCACCCCTGAGGACTACGATAGAATGCCTCGTTTCCAGTAAAAAAGGATCTCCGGATCTCTACACTCACGATACGAAACACAGCAGTATTAAGCTGCTATTTTACGCTGGTATTCTGTGATCTTACTGATAACTGTTCAATATTATAAAAAACTGGTGTTGCCAATGCGCCTGCGAAGCGTAGCGACTATTAAAATCCATGTTTAGCAATGGACCTCTATAGACTGTATGGATAGGGGAAATTTGAGTAAAGAAACATTGATAATTTTTTTTACCATAATTTATTTTATTACAAATTTCTTTTAGGATGGTAATGGCGGCATTTGGACAGTAGACTTGGAAATAGACAAAATCGAGTGTAATCATCGTAAAGTGTTGACTAGCCACGCTGGTGGTATAGTAGGAATGGTTAATTTACGCTTGCATCCTTTACTTATCACCGTGGGAGAAGATGGCGCGCTACACGTGTATAACACACAAAACCAAGTACTTCTTGCCAGATACCAATTTCCAAGTGCTATAACATGTTTAATGTATCCTCCAATAGATGTAAGTTTTTTCTCTATATTTTAATTCAATTTTAAATCAAGCCTGTTAAATTGAATTATAACAAAAATGTATAAAAGGTGGATCCAACCGCAAGAATCATTATGGTTGGGTTTGCGGATGGTGTAATGCGTACACTTTTGCTACATCCAGAAAGATTTCTATCAGTGACTTCACTCCTCGATGTGCGAATACATTCCGCTATAACCATACATAGTGATGACTCCGTGAACGCAGACGCATTGGATCTGATTTCGGTAAATAATAGGAGCTACGCAACCTTTAATTTTAATTGTATTACCTATTTTCATAACATTAATTAATGAACACCTAGCCTTTTGCGTAGATAACAGTCACTGTTCAATTTTAAGACAACAGTAAGACATTAACTTTGAGACTTATATGGTTCGTGGAACAGGTTAATATTTATGTATGTGTTTGTATTATATTTATCATACATATTATATCATTTATATCTGAGCAAAACTTATTTAAAACTAGTGACAAATTCCATAACAGTTCCTATAATCATAGCTACATTATATACACGCAATCTTGCATTGATTTAATAAAAGTTGGCTTCGTTTTATGATGTTGAATTTATAACATGGCAATTTTAAATGCCCATTTGTACCATATCAATTTTTTTGTCCGTTACGTACAAAAATGTCCCATTTACAGTGTTCTTTTCATGAAAATTTTTGACTTGACTCCGTGGCGCAGTGGCTTAGTGTAGTGCAGTAATGAGTGGCTGCGCTGGGGGTCGCGGGATCGAATCCCGCACGGAACAAGTATTTGCATGGCCTACAAATAGTTGTTCCGGGTCTGGATGTTTGTCCTTGTGCAATTTATGTTTGTAAACTTGTTTGTAAACTATGTCTGTAAACTAAAAAACCACGATACGAGAGAAAATCTTAGTGTAGAGGTAACGTTTTTTAAAAAAAAGAAAGAAAGAAAGAAATGAATCAAAAGTTATAATAATTGAATACAATTAATGGTACTCAATAGTAGGTACCATTCAAGAATTGAATTTTAGCTGTTTATATAAGGTTATCTTGAACGCTAGATTTACACAAGTTTTGGCAAATAATTATTGCAACATCTGTATGTTTAACGACAAACATTTTTGAACGGAGGGAAATGCTTTCAAGTTTTGACTTGTTTAAACAATTGTTTCATTTTTGACGAATGGCTTCAAGTCGTGCAAGTATTTGCAGATACAAAATTTTTATTCAATTTTGATGTTGTTAAGTATAAGTGGGTTTCGTTATTTGCCGTTTACACTAGTGATATTATCGGATCCAACTTGACAAAACTTGTGTACAATATTATATTATGATTCATGATAATGTATATTAAACTCATGTAAATAGTTACTTTAATTTCACATTCACATGATTGAATGGTATTGTTGCGCGCAATTAATTTCATTAATTTTTTTCGTTATTTATTCCCATTCTTGAGACTAGCAACTTGCACATTGTAAATGTAAGGAAGGATCGAAAATTACTTGAAATGGTAAGTGTAATATTATGTCCCTTTTACACTGTGCAAGTTTCTTAATTCAGAAATCAACTTGCCTCTCCAGAGCAAAAAATATTTAGACAGTACATGTTTTATCGAATCTTTAGTAGGTATGCACTATGCAGTGTCCTTTCTTTTTATTTTAGGTGCATGTGTTATATTTTTTAATATTTGCGTATTATTTCAAGGCTTTTTCATTTTTTTTCACAGTTCTACACATACTAACTATCCACAAATACTAACATCTTATTCATTGGCAGTTTCTCAAGCCTCATTCGAAGTCTCTAACTCAAATAACGATCAACAACCAACACACGTTGCTTGTGACTTGTAGTCAGGATACCACAATATTTATGTATCAATTGAAGTCTGGCACACCATTTATTTTACAAAAATTGGGATACATTGAAACACCAAATAACATAACATACATGACTTGGAAACCAAATGAGGTAACTATATTTAAATATCATATATATATATATATATATATTAAATATGATTATACTCTGAGATATCATCTTTGACAATATATTTCAGGAACGAGTATTACTCATGTGTGGTCAGGTTGGTTTTTTAATGGAAGCTGTTTTACCAGACGTCTCAGTTCGTAAATACACTGAAATAACTACCTTCAAATTGGACTTTGTGTCTTATAAAGAAACTACTGTAAAAAAACATTAGTAAGTACTTAATATAAATAAGTGTAACCAGACCTTAGCACCCGCTGTAAATTTCAGCAACCCGGGTTTGATCCCCGCCGGCACCATGAAATTGTTAGTTGCAATTTTAAGTGCTGATTTACCACGTGCTCGGCGGTGAAGGAAAACATCGTGAGGAAACCTGCATGTCTGGGTAACAAGCAAAAATAATTCAAAGACGTTTGAAGTTCGCGAACACGCATTGGGGCATCGCGGCAGATATTTCCTTGCCCTAAAACTCTCTCTGAAATTAGGGAGGTCTGTGCCCAGCAGTGGGACGTAAATAGGCTGTAACTTTAACTTTTATAATTAGACCAAAAATTACAACTCTCATAAAACTCATAAAGATGGTCAAAAACAAAGGCCATCTTGATGCAGACACGTAGCTCTAGAGATTGAGCACTAACTGTAAATTTCACACTACGCGAGCAACCCGTCAGCACCAATAAATTTGTTAAATGCAATTTTAAGTGCTAACGGCGAAGCAAAGCATCGTTAAAAAACTGCATATTTGTGGAATAAAAATATTTCCATAAACGAGGGTATGCCAACATGTATAGAAGCAGCGTGGAGCACTAATTGTTTTATAGTCGTCTAAAGCAGAGGTACGTAATAAATGCTGCAACTTTAACATTAGTAGGCGTTATAAAGCCTTCATAAGGTTCTTTTTTACTAACGCATATGATTTAATTGATCAATAATTCACTGAACGATTTTTATTTCATAATATGTGAGTGTAACTAACTTTTTATAGCATAGACCCCTGATACGTACTTATAAAATATTACAGTTTTTAATATACTAGCTCTCATTCCCTTTAAATTGGGTACCCTGCTATTTGACAGCTATAATAGGCAAGAATAAAGAATTGACCCATAAATCACCACATTATATTTTAATATACTAATATGTTTATTAAACTGTAGGTTTTTCAGATGAGTTCCGTACCCTTAATTTTTATTAAACGATAGCACTTGAACGACAAATCATTATTATCAAAGCAAGCATGCTTGCTATATGTGAACATGTCGTACTATTTTGTTAATTGTCGTATAAATCGACCCTACTTGTCATTATATTATTTTATCTATAATAGTTTTATTTTAATATTTCTAATTTTAAATATTGTAGATCTTTAGAGAGGAAAATATTATTGGATTTTCTAATTATTCAAATAATATCTTCAGTATGCGTCATCGGCCTTTTCCACAAGAAGAAGACTTGGCAAGTATAGACGAGGAAGCATTAAAAGCTAGAGAAGAAGCAGAAAAAGAAAACACCGAAGAGGAAGAAGAATGGACTGGTGAAATTCAACTAAGTAAGTTTTTTTAATAATATCTTCAGTATGCGTCATCGCCCTTTTCCACAAGAAGAATACTTGGCAAGTATAGACGAGGAAGCGTTAAAAGCTAGAGAAGAAGCAGTAAAAGAGAACACCGAAGAGGAAGAAGAATGGACTGGTGAAATTCAACTAAGTAAGTTTTTTTTAAATAATATCTTCAGTATGCGTCATCGTCCTTTTAAACAAGAAGAAGACTTGACAAGTATAGACGAGGAAGCATTAAAAGCTAGAGAAGAAGCAGAAAAAGAGAACACCGAAGAGGAAGAAGAATGGACTGGTGAAATTCAACTAAGTTTTTAAAACGCATGTTGCTTAGCACATTAATGAAAAGGCTTTATCCAAAGGCTAAAGGAAGTAAGGTGGAAAATTTTAAATGACAAAAGCGTTCGATAGCAATCTGACATTTAATAAATTTATTTCACAAAATACTTAATAATATACCATTTTTATTTGAAACAAGGTAACAAAGGGCGCATAAGGTAATACAGTATGACCTATAAAAACAATACAAACATCTTTAATGGAAAATAAATACTTAACTGTGTCAACATCGCCAAAGACTAAGATGATATTGATATATCTCTTCTGCAGAAATTGGGTTTTCGATTCTTGTTATATTTATCTTACCTGGACATAATGATTTTCATATGTACATTTACCATTATTGGTTTACAACATAGTACATGCATAAATTGTCATCATCATCATAACAGTCCAGGAATTAATTGTTGACTATTGAGCCTATGTTTGCTCCAATTATTTCCGCAAAATAAAGATTTAAGCTACCTGCATTAATTTGCGAACCCCACATTTCGTCTCATGTGGGTAGTTATCATAATACGTAGCTGATACAAATTTGCCACTTGATAACTTTCCTTCCCCCGTGATAATTGCTTTCACATTATAAAATTTTGATTTGTTTTTAATAATCTGTTTTAATATCATTTATCGTACGTTCAGTTGAGAGCGAAAGTATGCTGGGAACTACAGTGACATGGGCGAAATATTGTGAAGAGGGTGTATGGATAGTACAACGCGGGACCGGAGCCTTGCTACTAGTGCAACCAGGTCAAAACAAGATACTTAAATATGGCCCCTTTCCTGAAGCCTGGTGTGAAGACATTACTACTTTAAAATTTATGTATGTCATTTTTCTTAATCACTAGTTTCAAAACATTTTTTGCAGTCAGATAAGACCTTTTTAATTAATTTCGTATCTAATTTTAACTATTTTTTATTTTTAAATTTAACGTTGACAAATGCATCATCATCATTACAGCCTCTCACAATTTTTTTTATTGTCCACTGTTGAACACAGGCCTCCCCCAGGGAACGCCACAAGGCATGATCCTGAACCACCTGCATCCATCGACTTCCTACAACTCTTACAAAGTCGTCACTCTAATCTAGTGGGAGCCGCCCTTAACCTTTCTTCCCCGTCACTAGCCAGTTTTTCAAGCTATATGGACGGTCCATTGCTATTTCAGCTTACTGATCCCTTAAATTATGTCGGCTACTTTGATTCTACTATGGATATTCTCATTATGAAGTATATCATCCAGAGAATCTTCCTGTATAGACTTCTCCATAACTCGCTGAGTGATCTTGAGCTTGCTCGTACGGTCAGATGTGAATGATCACGTCTCAGACCGATATCTCAAAACTGGCAACACATAGCTGTGATACACTCCTATTTTAAATTCTTGAGGTATTATTAGTAGGTCATACGAATACTTGTTCCGTGCGGGATTTTAAACCGCGGGCACCAGCGCAGCCACTTATTGCTCAGCTACTGCGTCACGGAGCTTGTTTGGAAGACTGAACGTTGTCAAGTGTCTATGCGAGGCGATTCATAATGACTCAACGAACGACACGACGACAACGGAAACAGCGCGTAGATGCGGCATGGAGACGAAATCGAGCTGTAGTTCTTCAATAGATTCAATAGATCTTCGGGTGTTGTCGACATATTTGAAGAACAAGAACAGCGCACTTTTGTTCTACGTCTCCGGAATATTGCCACAATGGAGGACGGCTTTGAAAAGCTTCTGAAGGACTTTCAGTACCTGTTATGACCTGCATAATAATTCTACTGCTTTGACTTGCATAATAAGTCGACTGCCTTGTTGATCTGATGGTCATTAATGCAATTGCAGATCATGAGGTCCCGCGTTCAAACCACGAGTTCAGTTATTGGGGTATTCTGGCAAAAATCTCTCAGTATCAGCTCAGAGTTAGTAGAAGATGGGGGTATTTCACGACCATGCCTGAAAGCACGTAAAGCAGTCGGTCCTGCGCCTGATCTTGAATTACCGTCCCATCGAAATTTGAGAGTAAGGGAATAGAGAGCGTACTTGTGCTTGCGCAAACATTTGGGAACTTTAAACCAGTCCTGCGCCGATTGCGAATCTCCTTTATGACTGGTCGCTGTTACCAAAATTAAATCTGGAAGACATTATTATTAGGTCATTTGCTTAATTGGCTTTTAAGATCAATTATTATTAGAAAAATGAGTGATGAGAACCTTGACAATCTCTGACTGTACCTACAGATGCGGCGGCCGCTATCTAATTTTTGGTACAAATACCGGCTACATACGCGTTGTTAGGATGCCAACAGAAGATGAGGATTCGGAGGAACATCACTATTTAACGTGGAAATTGGCATTACAGAGTCTTCTCCGTCAACTTAAGGGCAGACGCCTAGCGAAAGAAGAGGTCTGTTTATGATGGTTTTTAAAATTTTATAAGTTAAAAAGTTAAAAGATAAGTTTCAAAATAATAACAAATTATTATTTTCAGTCTCAACCCACGCCACGTATAGATTTCATTGACAACTATTACCTTCCCATGCACAATAGTTATACAGGGGCTATAACATGTATTGAAATCACCTCTGACGGAAGGTATATTTATTTACTTTTTAATTGCTATTTAAAACTTCAATGCTTGTCTGTTGCTGGTGAAATAATTTAAATTATGTAAATTATCATCTTATATATAAAATTAATGATTGTTTTTAGTATTTACCATATTGTTCTACGCTACCAAACTGTTCATCAGATTGCTTCAAAACTCTGTCAACTTATTGCTTGCATTTGCGCGAAAGTTATAGGTATAATTAACTTAGAGTAGGTGGCACGCGTATCGTACCGTCAAATTTATTTGAAAGTTATATATCACTAGCGGATACCCAGCGTATGCTACTACGCTGAAAAAAGAAATATATTTTGTTCATTTGTTGGAAAAAGCGAAATTTTTTTTTATTCTCGTATAGTGCCTATAATGCATTGTTGTAGTTGTTCTAGTCCAAGACCACCTTGACATTATTGCCTTTCTAATGAAACCGGTTTTGGAGCACATCGTTTGGATAGTTTTAAAGTCTATAATAATGGATAGCTTAATGCTGCTGTGTTTCGTATAGTGAGTGTAGAGAACCGGAGACCCTTTTTACTGAAAACGAGTCATTCCACCTAAGTCCTCACGGATGACAACGCATCTTCATTTTGATTCGTAATCGAGGATAGATGTAGATGTCTATGGGCCACAGCTACCATTTACCATTAGATGGACTGTGTGCTCGTTTGTCATCCTATCCTATATAGACTAAATTTGCGAAAGTGTAAAACTGTCTTTTATCAGAAGAGCTATCCTAATATGTGTATAAGAGTATATAATAAAATCCCCGGTAATATTCAAAAATTGCCATTTAACTTTTTTTCAAAAAACATTGAAGCAATTACTTATTCAGAATTGTTTTTATTCCCTAGATGAATTTTATTGTTATAGACCAAAGTGATATTTAATATAATCTTGACTTGACTTGATAACTGTTGACATGTACACCTTAACTTGACATTTTTTATTTTTTTTATTTTATTTTATTTTGGCATTAAGACTGGATCAAATTTTGTATTATTTCTTGTTTATTGTTAACGTCTTTGTAAATGTGTATTATTTATCTTGTGACACTTTATCCTTAGTTTTATCACTAAATTGTAATTAATCATAGATATCCATAAAACATTTATATAGCACTAGACTGACATATGATTGTACCATACCAAATTATTAATCCTGTAACTACCATATTTCTATGCAAATAAATCATTATTATTATTATAAAAAATATAAATATTGATATATATATAACATTTTTGGTGTTTTATACAGATATAGATTAGATTCAATTTCAATTAATGTATTACTATTCTTAATAAACCAATATAACTCGTCCAAATTGAAAAAGAAAATTTCCACAATTATTTCTTCTGCGGCATCAACGCACCGAGTACTAGCTAGTGTTCAATAAAAATTAGATCATATTCATAAATAATTTTCTCTCTTCGATACTTATTTCTCCTCATATATAAGTTATTATTACATACATCATCACAATGCACTTAATAATATTTTGTATATCTGTCTTTACTGTTTTCTCTAAGATAAGAATCTTCATATGTTTTAGACGACTTTACACATGCGGAAAAGATGGTAATATTTTCTCATATACAATCAATTTCTCAGAGCCGTTGCTACCAGAATTAGAATTACCAAGAGTTTTAGAAATACCGGTGAGTGTTTATTCATTTTTATACTTTTGTAAAATAATATATAAATTATATTTAATAGTAGGTAATAAATAACCGTAACATTACAATACGTAACCATGGCATTGTAAGATGATCAACTACCCCATATCATTCCGTGGGTGGCATAAGAGGCGACAGATACAGAGGAACGAGTTAAAAGCAGCAGCGTCTTCCTAATAAAAATAAAAAAATAACAAAACTACGGTGGCCAACCAGCCGGCCAAGTGTGGCAAGTATGGCAAGTATTCCCCTCTATGAGGCAATCTTGGGGGATTCCTATATTTGACTGTGAACCTTTGACAGGCTGTAACGATAATATATTACTTACGACCGTGTAGCGGCGGTGTATTAATCCACTAGTTTATATTCATAGAATACTATAATGAACGTGTGAGTGGACGGAGCCCGTGTAGCCACTAAAATGCCACTAACACGTCAATTCATTGTCATTATCATCATCAGATGTGTTTTGACGTTACAATGGTTTCCAAATTTCGCATGTAAATTATTTAGAAAATGCCAAATTGCACGCTATTTACAAATAAATATGTATTAAAATCCGTCTGTCAACACAGCGAATCGGGTTTGTAGTAGTGATTAACTGATAATACGACGTAATTGCTTGTTGTGTGCTCCCGGCGACGCCTATCCTCGTACAAAATAAGGTTGACAGCCATTCTATTGTGTATTATAGTATTTTATGTTCATATTCGTATTATACTGTGGATGTCGTAAAAAGTTACAGAAGGAAACTTTAATATAAGGACTTTAATATAAAAACTGCGGCTGCCAACCCACCTGCCAAGTTTGGCAACTACCGCTGTTAGTATGAGGCAATCTATGGGAAAGTTCTATTTGTCCGTGAACTTGAATAGGCTGTAATATATGATCGAAGCAATACTAAAGCAAATTTAATATTGAAATTTACCTAGAATGGCTTTTAAGGATATAATATAATATTAAACACCGTATTTGTAAACAGAAAATGGAAAAAGTAAAGGAACCTAGTACTATAGACGGGGAAATTATGTCCCATGAACAGCTCAAACAAAAGGAAGAGTACGATAAAATGATGGCTGTAGCCAATGCGCACAAGAAACAAGTCCGTAACCAGCTCGCTGAGCTCACGATCGAATTCAGTAAACTGATTAAAGCGTTAGTATTCCTCAAATAAAGAGAATTTAATATATTTTTATAATTATAAGTTTGCACTGTTTTCTTTACCGTTCTTATGGAAAGGGAAGCTGACAGGAAAAGGAAGCAATTTTAGTGACACTGAACGTAACTTGTACAAGCATCCGCTCACCAAGCAAGTGAATTTGATCAATGCTCTTAATATTTGGAGAGCCTATGAAAAATTAATAATGCATTATTAAAAAAAATGTAGTACAGAGAAGCCTCGATAATCCGAATTTCCCCCCCCCCCCTCCCCCCATACCCCGCCTGCTCAAGCAGATATTTCATGACTTTTTCTTTGTCGTTAAACACCACTCGTCAAAGCACTATACAAGAATACCTATTCGTAAAGTAATACTAGAGTTTTTTGCAATTAATTCATATTTAATAAAATTTTTGTTCCTCTTCCATTATAATATGTGTTTCATTTCAAAAAAACGCCTTTTAAAATTTCTATATACTTTAATCCGAACGCCTCATTAATCCCTACAGGGTGTAGATATATTTTGTCTGTTCGGATTATAGAGACCCTACTTTATTTACTGCATTATTAATTATTAAAAAATAATAGTACTTGCTGGAATTTCCGACATGCAATGTTTGAAAAAATTACCAAAAATAAGCTAGTGCGTATTGCCAGTGATAGACCATAATATGTCAATGATTGTTGTTGAATATATTAATATGATACTATTGTTTTATTATTGCAAATATTTAAAGAATATTTCATTTTTAAGGAACCGCGCTTTACCAGTCTCGCAACAAATCGACTTGATTCTAGACCCTCGACCAATAATGGAACTCGAAAAAGAGCTTAACGAAGCTAAGGCTCTAACCAGAAGAAAACTAGCACACCAGCTGGAGGCATCTGATCTGGCTTATCAAAAAATGTACCACAGGAATATAATACAACTAGATGTGTTCCCCTTTACATTAAAAGCAATCAGGTGACTTATAATGCTTGAGAATTTTTTAAGTTATTTATAAGTCAGTGCTTGTCTACAATCCCGCCTGGTGTTAAGTGGGGATGAATGCTTAGATGGTAACCCTCTTCGCACACGAGTCGTAAGTGTAGTCGTATCGTAAGCCTATCGTTACGAGGCAACGCGTACGAGAGCTGCAGTGTTCTAGAAGCGAATCGTCGAGTAGACGTATCGTTTTGTAAGATCTTAGTTGAAATCATAGCTAAGTTTCACCAGTTTCACGAATTCAGTCACTTTTTTAGTCCTATTCATACCTATTGAAATTAAAAGTCTCTTACGACTTTTAATTTCAATAGGTTAAATAAATTAAAATTTAATGATTTCTTATATTTACGCGAACACTATACATGATTAAAACTACTTTTACGGATTTTATCGCGTTTATTTTTACTTTTTATTTACTTTTATTTTTATTTTTAATTCCCGACGTTTCGGGCGCCTTCCAGCACCCATGGTCACAGGGGACTGAGATGACTGACGTCCCGATGTCATTGTTAAACCCGGAGTACCTTCAGCTTTTTAAATTATTGTTTATGGTCCGATCTATGCAAAATGAACTGACTATGTCCTGAGGTCTTGCAGTGGTATGCTTGGGTTTAGTTTCAATTTTATTGATTATAGGATCCCAAGCAGGTGGCAGCACCCAGCCTCCTTCTCTATTGAAATTAGGATGTTTTTTAATTTCAATAGCCTCACGTATCATCCTTGGTAGGAATCGGTGTTCTTTCGCGAGGATTTGTGGTCTATCAAATCTGATGCAATGGTTGGGTCCGTCTAGGATATGATCACAAACTGCAGACTTCCCGGAACGTTGATGCTTCACGTCAGCTATATGTTCTTTTACGCGGGTCCTAATTGATCTTTTTGTTTGTCCTATATAAGAGAGACCACATTCACAATCAAGCTTGTACACTCCTGCGGCGGCTTGTAGAATGTTCTAATAGAAGCTCGCTTCAAGATATAGCCAATCTTGTCTGTGACACCTCTGACATATGGTAGTACAGCAGGCACACGCTCGACTGTGGCCGACTTCACTCGGTCACTGTGACGTAGGCGCGGGACCCGAAGCTTGTTGTCGTGCAGAACTTGCTTGACGTGCTGAAGCTCGGCGGCCAGGTGTTTGCTGTCACAGATCCCTCGTGCTCTCTGTAACAAAGATTTGCCCACGGTAGCTAACTGTGAAGGATGGTGGTGAGATTCACCGTTTAAAAATTAAAATTTTGTTAAATTTTTAAAGAAATTAATGAACAGTTAATTTTTTACGCTTGCTTTTTTACGCCATTACACTACGACTATCGTAATTACAATAAACATCTCCTACGATTCGCTGCATCACCGCTTCGTGTACGGGGTTTTTTGAACATGTACGCGCTCGTATTGCTCTCGTCCTACGCGCGTATTACGATACGCTTACGATACGACGTCGTGTGCGAACAGGCTAAATCGTACTGGCATAAGACTAACATTTTTTAATTAGCAAATTAGCCTTTTTTATTAAAATCTGTGTAAACCAGCCAATTTTACTGTTCTAGTGGGATGGTATTATGTAAATAAAAAAAAATACTTTAAATAAGTATTGTTACGAGCTTGAGGTTCGTGACAATAAAAATTGCCGATAAAATTACCTAAATTAACACTTTAATTTACTTTACACAAATTAAAGTTAAAAACACTAATAATTAAACACACTAATTCACTTTATTCCGCTCCGAAGCTTCGCTTTTCTCGCCAAATCAACACTGCCCCGATCGCATCTTGCAGCGCCTATATATTTAAATTAGCAAAGAAATATCCAGAATGTTCAAGTAAACACGCGCAAGGTACCGAGCGTTCGAGTTTCGACTAGGCGCTGTCGGTTGAGTAATTTGTGATGTCATTTTCTCAATGCTCCCCTCGCTCTCGTTCCTGACACTAGATGGCGCTAGTGTATTGTCGATTTGAGCGCGTAATACTGCCCCCTCCTAAGACATGCTCGTCCCGAGCATTATCGGCCCCATAATAACGCGCTAGGCGATCCACATGGACGATCTTAGGAGTCCCTCTTGCGCCTTTCTGTATCCGGTAGGTTACATCGTTGATCCTGGTCACAATCCGGTACGGGCCGTCCCATTTAGCTTGAAGCTTAGGAGATTTCCCTTTGCTGCGGACTGGATTGTGCAACCACACAAGTGAACCTTCGTCGAACCCTTTGTTGTTCATTTTGCGGTCATACCGGGTTTTCATCTTTTCAGACATTTGCTGGCCCGATTGTCTGACGTGCTCATAAACGTCATTCATTTTTTTCCGCAAGTCATTTGCATAATCGGTTATACTGCGTGGAGCATCAGGTGGTGTCCCGGTGATCAGGTCTGCAGGCAGCCGTAATTCTCTTCCAAAGTTTGCGAAAGCTGGTGTCACTGCTGTACTTTCGTGAACAGAACTTCGATATGACAACAAAAACGGTTGTATGTGCTTGTCCCAATCTCGTTGCCGATTGTCTACAACTTTTGCTAGGTACCTCTCCAATGTCTGATTAAATCGTTCCACCATTCCATCAGATTGCGGGTGATAAGAAGTCGTTCTTGTTTTATGAGTACCCATAACTCGGCAAGTTTCCTGGAATATTTGAGACTCAAAATTCCTTCCTTGATCGCTGTGAATCTCTAAAGGTACACCAAAACGACAGAAGACTTCATGAACTAGTTTATCAGCAACTGTTGAAGCTTCTTGATTTGGAATGGCGAAGACTTCTGGCCACTTAGTGAAGTAATCCATCACAACCATGAAATACTTGTTACCGCTTTCACTCTCCGGAAACGGCCCCGCCACGTCAATGGCTATTCTCTCCCATGGTGCACCAACATTGTACAACTTCAATGCACCTCTACTACGAGTTTGAGGTCCCTTTACAGCCGCACAACTTGTACATTTGCGACACCAGTCCTCGACATCGTTTCGACAGTGGACCCAGTAAAACCGTTCTCGGATCTTCAGCAGAGTTCGTTTAACTCCCAGATGGCCTCCTGAATAATCATTATGGTACAGCTGTAGAACATCCGGTACTTTAGCTTTAGGGACAACCATTTGTAAATGACAGCTGTCTCCCCGAACATTTTCCCATTTGCGGCACAGAACTCCATCCTGAAGCTGCAAGCTGTCCCATTGGGCCCAATAGCTTTTAGTGGTCGAACTCATCGCTGAGACGTCGCTCCACTTGGGCTTGGGAGCACTGGCCTTCATCCATTCCAGGATCGGCTTGATGTCCGGATCTTCCTGCTGTGCATGTCGTAGGCTGTCCTTCCACCCGTTGCTGAGGTGGTCTGTCCTGAGCATCCTCACGGATACCACTTCCTTACTCTCTTGCCTACTACTTTCCTAATGTAAGATGTAAGGAGGATTTTCCATGAACGTGACGCTTGGCTTGTATCGTGTATTGAAGATTGCAGTTCCAGACGTCTTGAACTTCTTCATCTTCAGGAAAAGGTCTTCTTGTCAATGCATCTGCGTTGCTGTGAGATTTCCCGCTGCAGTGTCTGATAGTAAAGTCGTATTCCTGCTGCTGCTGGGCGGTGCTGTTAGCCGCACTACCCACCTGGGATCGTTCACCTTCCCTTTCTAGGGTTCGCTTAGGGCAGCTGGATCGAAGATGGCCCTTTTCCCCACAGCCATAGCACCTTGGGCTGTATCCTTTGTTGCGGTCGCGAACTGTAGCGGCTACAACCTCCCTGACGCGATGGGAACAATGATTCTGCCGCACGGCTTCTACCTCCAGTGCATGGGCCAAGGCATCCTTAAGCGTCTCGTGGTGCCCGAGCCTCACAGCAGCTCTGACTTCCAGGTCGCGGATGCCGTCGATGAATGTCTGCACCAGGTTCCCTTCAATGAGCGCAGGTACAGACCGGTAAGCTTTTCGCACCAGCTTCTCCACCTCTAGAGCCCACTGCTGCAGGTTTTCGTTGATGCGCTGCACACGATCTTTAAGCTGCGCACGAAAGACGTGTTCCAGGTGAGCGTCGCCATATCTCGCCTCCAATGCCTCAAGGAGTTGCTCATAAGTCACTTCCTCACCGAGAGCTTCCAGAACTGTTAAGGCCTGGTCGCGCAGGCCTAGTGTGAGAGCAGTCATGGCCTGACTTTTATTCCAGCCGTTCGCCTTCATAACAGCCTCGAACTGGATTTTGTAGGCTGACCAGGAAGAGGTACCGTCGAACGGTGGCACCTTGAACCCACGTAGCGAAGGTGTTGTAGCTACTACGGGAACTGTAGCTCCATCTCCAAGTTTGAGTTCGTCCAGTGATTTCTTCATGTCAGCCATTACGTTGTCAACCCGATTGTTTACTTGGTCGATTCGGGTTTCAGCTTTCTCGATTCGGTTTTCAGCTTCCGACAGGCGGTTGTCATGGTGAGCAACCCTATCCTTCACCTCCTTTATCTCCTTCCCGAAGGTAGCGTGAAGGTCCTTCATGAGGAGCATCTGTTCCTCCTGTCGGCGGGCCTGTTCCTCGTGTCGGCGGGCCTGTTCCTCCTGCTGCTCTTTCAACTGACTGGCCTGTTCCTCCTGTCCGCGCTTCAGCTGCTCTTCGAACCGACGAGCCTGTTCCTCCTGTCGGCGGGCCTGCTCCTGCAGCATCACCATCAGGGCGCCCAAATCAGGTGCTGCAGATGCAGGAGCTACTGACGGACCGGCCTCCGTTGCCGGCCGCTGGCCCTCCGACGTCTGCGGCGTTGCACCACCAAATCTTCGTTGGTCCGTCTCCTGCTGGCGTTGACTTCGGGTACGGACACCCTCCGTTTCCTCCTTAGGTAAAATCGGCATTATTTTATCCCACTTCTGACACCAATTGTTACGAGTTTGAGGTTCGTGACAATAAAAATTGCCGATAAAATTACCTAAATTAACACTTTAATTTACTTTACACGGATTAAAGTTAAAAACACTTATAATTAAACACACTAATTCACTTTATTCCGTTCCGAAGCTTCGCTTTTCTCGCCAAATCAACACTACTTCGATCGCATCTTGCAGCGCCTATATATTTAAATTAGCAAAGAAATATCCAGAATGTTCAAGTAAACACGCGCAAGGTACCGAGCGTTCGAGTTTCGACTAGGCGCTGTCGGTTGAGTAATTTGTGATGTCATTTTCTCAATGCTCCCCTCGCTCTCGTTCCTGACACTAGATGGCGCTAGTGTATTGTCGATTTGAGCGCGTAATAGTATTATGTAATAAGCTATTGAATAAAAATTATTCTATTCTATAATATTGCAATCATATTATTACCCACTGGTAATGTATTTTGTATCTCAAAATTTAGGAAAAAATTTACAACATGATAACAAAAATCCTAAGAATTCCGTTAAGTGCGTTATCAACAACCAATATTCAAATGTATAGAAATAACTTTACTTCAAAAAGCGGGACTATACAATTCTTTAATTTAAAATTTAAATATATATTTAAAATTTAATATCAAATTATAAATTAATATTTAAAAAAGTTGTTTGCAAATTGTATGTAGTTTATTACCTCTACATTAGCCGGGGAGTAAAAGTATTATCAAAGACCCCGCTTTACTGATACGCGTGTCAGTTAGAGGTATTAAAATCACATATACGAGGGCACTGAAAATTTCGGGAATCAAGGAAGTGACACAACATTACTATTTAAAAATGTATTTATTGGTTTTTGAAGTATTCTCCCCGAAATTTGACACATTTTTCCATACGATGGAACCAATCATTGAAGCAACCATTCCATTCGGAAGTTGGGGTCTCCAAAATGGCCGTTTTGTGGGCGTCCACAGCTTCAGGTGATGAAAATCTCTTTCCACGCAATTTATTCTTTATTTTAGGGAAAGTATATAAATCATTAGGGCTTAGGTCAGGGCTATACGGCGGATGGTCAAATAATTCTATGTTTTCTCGCTTTAAAAACTCTTATGTTCTGTTTGCGGTGTGAGAACTCGCATTGTCGTGATGGAAGATGATGCGACGGTTGCAGTTCTCTTTACGGAGTTCAGAAACGACCTGTGGCAAACAAATGCTAGCATACCATTCTGCATTAACCGTTCCTTGTCCCTCAAGAGGAATACTCGTAACATGGCCGGTTTTGGATACAAACGTGGCCACCATTTTTTTTTTGCAACACTCCGTGAACGAACAATTTTTGTTGGCTTTAACTCATTTTCGAACACCCAAACTCGTGACTGGTTTTTGTTTTGGGTTCGTACGCATATATCCAGGATTCGTCACCTGATACGATATTGTATACAGAATTTAAGGATCCTCCGTAGAATCTTCCGAGAGTTCTGACGCATCAAGTAACGCGAGCCGCTTTTTGCTCTTCACAGAGCGATTGCGGTATCCATCAGGAAAACAACTTTTTTACATCTAATTGTTCATGCAAGATTATTTGTATTTGACTCATGCCAATGTCAAAAGTTGCCTCAATTTCGCGGTATGTCACATGTCGATCTTCCTCAATCAGCTTACGCACAGCATTAACGTTTTCTTGGGTGACTGCAGTTATTGGACGACCTTGACGGGGATCATCACTGAGCTTGACACGTCCACGTTGAAATTCAGAAAACCTGCGATAAATTGTGGTTTTGGATGGGGCTTCATCACCAAATGTAGAAATCATCCGGTCAACACACTGTTTTTGTGTTAAACCACTTCGAAAGTCATAATAAATCATCGCTCTTGAATTTTCTCGAGTCAATTCCATTTTCTCAACGACTAAACAAGTTAGACAAAATCTTGTGACAAGACCGAGAATCTTTTTTTAAATAAATAAATGGTATTCGAATTTTAAAACCAAGGAGTTTTCAATTAAAAATATTTTAATATGACAGGAACAGTGGAAATATTCCATTCCCGATACTTTTAGTGCAGCCTAAGTATTTCGCAAATATGAATTTATTTAAATTTAATTTTTAGTGTCGAATTTTCTGAAGTAAAGATTCATACGTTTGAATACTGGTTCTGATAACGCACTTAAAGGGAACTACAGTGTTTTTGTTACATGTTGTATAATAATTTAAGTCTAACAATTTGGCAATAACTACTAGATACCTTATAAAATATCTGTAATCAGAAATCAGTGCAATAAAACATTCTTTAATTCAGAGATCCAGATATTATGATAAGGCCGCTGCGACAGAAAAATCTTTCTAAAGTTTTCTACGACCAATTGGAGGAAGTGTATCAGAAAATGGCTGAAGCGGCATTAAAAGGAAGGTACTTTTTATTTTATGACAATTATTTAGAAATTACATAAAAATAAACTAAAAGTATGTATGGAAAAGTACTAAGTATGGAAAAGTATCAATACTTTTTGGTATCTAGTATTTTCCATTCGATATCTTTTGATTTCGAATGGAAAATACTAGACAAAGGTAAGTAGTTCTTCCTCTATACCATCACACAATATAAAATTATTAATATATTATCAAAAATTTGTAATTAGAATAAGGTATAAATTGTAGTTGATTATTTTATAATTTTCTGTCTTTAACTGGGGAACATTTATTGGAACAACAGTATCGACACCTAAAGGTATCCGATGACTACTCATGAGTACAGTTTATATACTTTTGATTCGATACCAAACCCTACAAAAAGAATGATCGAACGTATTTTGAAAATTAATTAAATTTCACATTTACATGCCGACATCAGGAATATAAATTTGCTGGCTTTAGCCGACATGGAACTAAAGTAAGTGGGAAGTGCATATTCATATTTTATTCAAACATTTTTACAAACTGTGTCTATTATTGCACGCTTATGACATATTGGACTAAAATGCCGCACTAGCACATTTTTATTTCACTGAACCCTTACAAATTTACCGACTGAATTAATTATTTGTCGCAATAGTTATTATTTATTACATAATAGTTAATGTTACAATTCTATAATATATTTAGATTGCAGGTTTGGTTTAAATAAATAAAAATCGCAAAAAAAATAAACTTAATATTCACCGGCATTATCTTTTACTTACGCTTACATTGGTACGAAAAGATTGGCGGAAGCAATACCATACAAATCGTACTTAAAATGTTATTTCTAATCATAGTATATCAAGTTTTACTCGAAATTTTGGGCTTAAATATGATGAGGATATGTTAGAACTAGGTTCCACAAAAACATACAAGAGTAAGTAGAGTATATCGAAACGTATTTATGACGACGAGAGAAGAGGATATTACGCATCGTTTTTATGTTGCTATTACATAGAATACTATAATACACAATCGAATGTCTGTCAAGCTTCCTTTGTACGCGATTCGGCGTCGCCGGGAGCACACATACAAGCAGTTACGTCATATTATCATTACTACAAACCCGATTCGCTGTGTCGACAGACGGATTTTAATACATATTTATTTGTAAATACCGTGCAATTCGGTAAATAATTTGCATGCGAAAATTGGAAACGATTGTAATGTCAAAACACATCTCGTATTGACATTTATACGTGTGAATTAACGTGTTAGTGGCATTTTAGTGGCTACACGGGCTGCGCCCACTGCCCCGTTCTATTATGTATGTATTCTATGTGCTATTGATGGACTTAAGACAGCGAAAAGTAATTCATACTTTACTAAATTTCTTTAATACGCTTCTGTTACCTACGTGATTTCTGTAGTTTCGCTATTAATTAAGTTTATCTATTAATTGTTTGCCCCCTCCTTTTTTATAATGCATTATCCTGAAACCCTATAGTATTGCTATATTCACCAAATTTGCAAGAGTATAAATCTAATCTTCATTTTTACAAAAACTTTAAATCATAATTTTTATCTCATGTAGACGCACCAAATCCACTGCGCGTCGTACCCAATACAGAAAAGCAACCTGGGGGGGCCTCCACGTGTAGCATCTTTCTTATTGGGTTTACCGCCCAACCCATCACATATGCTAAAAAAAGCCCTGCGGAATTATTACCAACGAATAAATCGTCATCACTTACAATTTATTGAGGTAACTAAAACAAAAAATACGTATGTAGTTTATATATAGGGGTTGAAGTATGAAGTTGCCATTTTAAATTGATAATTTCTCTTTTCTTTCTAAGATAACATAGGTCTATATTTATTTTATATATTACGGTATAATCATAAGTTTATAGAAACTTTACCGTGATACGGGTTGTCGCCGACAATAACAAATATTGAGGTAAAAAACTAACACTTATTATTTGTTAAGTACGTGATATACAAATTGCCTGACGCACCGCTCATGGATCGTATATACAGCACGTTTGTTTTTCAAGCATTATCCTAATTCATATTTATTAGCAACTAGATATCTGGATTATACAACAATGGCACCTACCGGGTCCAACTATACCTATAACCTTCGCGGAAGTGAAAGCAATACGTTGATAAAGTTTAACCGCAATATGGTAAACGATATGGCAGCCAATAAAATACGAATAAACAAATATTATTTTTATATATATATAAATATATAATATATAAACACTCACGCCTGTCACCCAGAGGGGTAGGCAGAGACTACGGACTTCCATTTGGCACGATCCTGACATACCTCTTTCGCCTCCTTTACATCCATATATCTACGCATACATGCTCGTCGGTTAAGGGTACTTCTAACGTGGCCCATTTTCAAAATATCGCCAATTTGGTCGATAAACTTTTTCCTAGGGCGTCCCTTCCCGACTCGGCCATTCACATCTGCCATATAAATTTGCTTTGTCACTCTTTCTTCATTCATTCTTTCTACGTGACCAAACCACCGAAGCATTCCTTTCTTAATCCTGGTCACAACATCATCTTGCATACCACATTTATCTCTTATCACGCAATTTCTCACCCTGTCATTCAGATTACACCCTAGCATATTCCTTAAAGACCGCATTTCTACAGCATTTATTTTACTTTCATGCTTCTTCTGCCACACCCAGCTTTCACTACCATACATTAAAGTAGGGACTAACACAGCATTATGAATTACCATACGTGCCTGTTTTGATAAATTCTGGTTCTTCATAATAGAGTGTAGTGCCCCATTCACTCTATTCCCTGCATTTACTCGTCGTTCTATATCCCTATCATATCTACCATCCCTGCTAAATACACATCCCAAATACACAAACTCATCCACTTGCTCAATCAACTCTCCTTCTATTCTTATTTCACATACCGTTTTGCTTTCTTCTCTTTCAAAAACCATCACTTTCGTCTTACTTGCGGTCACTTTCATTCCCCTTTCTTTTAATTCCCAGTTCATTAATGTAACCATCATTTGCAACTCTGCCGCCGATGACGCAAGTATGACTTGATCATCGGCATACAAAAGGCATTTGACGGTTAACTCGCCCATTCTTAACCCACATTCTTCATCTTTCAAAGTTTGCAAACACCGGTCCATAAATAGGTTGAACAGCCAAGGGGAAGCCACACAGCCCTGTCTGACACCTTTTTGGATGCCAAACCAGTCCGAGTAGACCCCATTGATCCTGACACAAGCACTAGAGTCCCTATAAAGAGACCTTAATGCCTGTATCAAACCAGCGCTCAACCCATATGAGTTCAGTGTTTGCCATAACACAATCCTGTCCACTCTGTCATAAGCCTTTTCCAAGTCCATGAACGCACAAAAAACTTTCTGGTTTTTGGCCAAAAACTTCTCCGCAATCATGCGCATGGAAAAGACTTGATCTGTACACCCCATTCCCTTTCTAAAACCCGCTTGCACATCCCAAATTTTTCCATCAGTTTCTTTCATAACTCTTTCAATTAACACCTTAGCATACAGTTTACCCGCAATACTAAGCAAGCTGATACCGCGGTAGTTTTTGCAGTCCTGCTGTGACCCTTTTCCTTTATATATTGGTACTATAACTGCTTTACACCAGTCATCCGGTACCCGTTTTAATTCCCAACATAAATTAAACAAGGTGTACAGCAGGCCTGCCACCACTCCCTCTCCAGCCCTTAGCATCTCGAGTGATACTCTATCATATCCAGCTGCCTTACCTGCTTTCATGCTTTTCATTGCTTTCATTATTTCATCTACACTTATCTCCATACCCCTTTCCACTTCTTTCGGAATTTCTAGTTCATTTCATTCATACGACTCTTCACTCATAAACACGCTTTCAAAGTATTCCTTCCATCTGTTTAAAATCGAAACTTCATCATTCAGAATACATCCATTCTCGTCTCTTATAGCATTTATTATAGGCTGTTTTGTATTTCCCCTGGCAGTTCTTACGAGTTTCCAGAACATTTTTATGTTAGCCTGGAAATTATCAGATATCCTTCTATCATTCTTATCCATTCTTTCTTTCTTTTTCCTTTCAACAACTTCTTTTACTCTCTTATTTAGACGTCTAAATTCTGCCTTTTTTCTTTCAATCTCATCATTCATACCAGAAGAATTATCAGCTTTGGTTGCTAGTAAATCTAACCATGCTTTCTTCTTTGATTCAACTTCCACCCGTACCTCATCATCCCACCATAACGTATTACTTTTCCTTTCATTTGTTCTCTTACTTACACCGCATACTTCGGTGGCGGTATCCACCAAACCTTTCTTAATATTATCCCACACAGTATTCAAGTCTAAATCATTCATACACAACTCATTCAAACATCTAATATTTTCTCTCAGTCTACATTTATACTTCTCTATCACATCTTCATCTTGTAACTTCTCTATTCTTATACGCTGTAACGCAGTGGTAGATACAGATGTCCGATGCCGCAAACGCTTGAAAAGACCATTAATTCGACATAAGACCAAGTAATGATCCGTCCCTACGTTGGACCCCCGATAAACCCTTGTATCTACGACTGCGCTCCTCATTCTTTCATCCACAATTACGAAATCTATCATGCTTCTATCATCATCTCTTTCCCATGTATACATGTGAATCTTCTTATGACGAAAAAAAGTATTCGTCACAAAAAGATTCTTTTCCGCACATACGGTGAGGAGGTCTTCACCATTCTCATTTATACTTCCATCACCAAACGTTCCCAATATCCTTTCATAACCAGACCTCTTCACCCCAACCCTTCCATTAAAGTCTCCTAACATAATAATATTTTCATTTTCCTTACATTTTGTCAACACCATCCTTACCATGTCCCAAAACTGCTCTCGGATGTAAGTGGGATTAGACATGTCTGGGGCGTACACCCCTAGCAGGAACAGTTTCTTTAAGCCCACTTTCATTCGTATCCATAGCAGTCTTGGGCTTACACATTCATACTCTTTCACACATTGACCCATTCTTTCTGAAAGGATGAAACCGACTCCCTGGCATGCCCGTTCGGTCTCGCCTACACCAGACCAATACGCGGTATACGTGCCATGTGCAGTGGCATCCTTTCCCTTTCGTTTCGTCTCATTCACACATAACACATCTATTCCTCTGTCATTCAACATTTCGCATACTTCATCCATCTTATCATTCATTCCTCCACGTACATTCAGCGTAGCCAGACGGGTTTCCGCAATCCACTTTTCGCCCCTCCGGGAGACAGAACGTGACGGGTGGCGAACCTCGTCGCCGGTTTTTCTCCCGGAGATTCTTCGCACCCCTGCCCCATTTAAAGGGCGCCGGGAACTCGGGGCCATTTCTTTTATTTCTTGAGTCATGGTGCGAACAAGGGTTGGTGGTAGATTTTACGCCGCTACCATACGGCGAGGAGCCGAGTCTATTTTATCGGCTTTGTCGCTCGTTTAGCACCACCCGGGGTCACGTGTAGGGTGGGCCTAAGGTTAGGTGGTCGAAGCCTACGGACGCGAGCGACTCATCCCCCATATTTTTAATATATCAGATATATCTTCTCTATATAGTATAAAACAAAATCATTTCCCGCTGTATGTACGCTGAGATCTTTTAAACAACGCAACGAATTTTGATTCTGTTTTCGTCAATACACAGAATGATGTATACTCATAATACACGCATATTATTTTCTTCTGTCCGTGTGTATGTAACTGAACTCCTCCTAAACGGCTGGACCAATTTTGATAAAATTTTGGGTGTTTGATTAAGATGATTCGAGAATGGTTTAGATTCACAATTGCGCGCAGTAGGTGGCGCTGCCGTCGAGGTCCAGAGATCTCCGTGCGGAGCCGGGGCAGATAGCTAGTTATGTATATTTAAATTAATTGAATCGATATATTTATCCTCGAGGTCTTTATGCCTTTGCGATAGAATTTAGGAATCGAGATTCTGCAAAACCTATGCAGGCATTTTGTACCGCTTCCTGAAAACAATTTTTTTCTTTGCAAGAATATGTCCAAATTGCGGAAAAACAGTTGTCGGCTAGTGCTAGGTCTGCCAAGTAGGGAGGATGACGGTTTTTCACTGCAGATCTTGTAATGTTGAAACGGTTTGTCGAGCAGTGTGAGGTCTTTTCCTGCGTTATCATGTTGCAATAATAGCAACGATCAATTGACGAGTCGGAGTTAGTTCAGAATAGAATTTAAAATGTTATGATTTTTGAGTAGAAAACAGTTTTAATCCCGTAATGTGGACCATGCGGCTTGCTTTTAATTCAAAATGGCCACTTCATTAAAACGGCAACTTCATACGAACAGACAAACTAAAATACTATGGAAAAATCTACTAATCTAGATAATGTTTTGATAAGCAGTAAAAAGGGTTGTCACTTGTTGAAACTAACTAATTCTTTGAAATAAATTTTTTAGATTTACTAATATTTGTTTTACTTTTAGAGCTGCTAGAGCCGTGGCAGCTCAGAGGGTTAACGCTCGCTGTAAATTTCACAGTACGCGAACAACCTGGATTCGATCCCCACCAGCACCAATGAAATTGTTAATTGCAATTTTAAGTGCTGGTTTTACCACGTGCTCGGCGGTGAAGGAAAACATCGTGAGAAAACCTGCATGTCTGAGGAATAAGAAAACAAAAATATTTCGAAGACATGTGAAGTTCGCCAACACGCATTGGGTCAGCGTGGCGGACACTTCCTTACGATAAAACCCTCTTAGAAATGAGAGGAGGCCTGTGCCCAGCAGTGGGACGTATATAGGCTGTAACTTTAATGAACAAAGCAGGTTCGCCTTACGGTGTCATGATGGTATTTTTTATTTAATTATTAGTGTAATAAAAACATATTTTTTGTGATTTGGATTGACGTAATATGTAATAATATAATGTCCTCCAGACCGAATTTCGGCCACGGTGGCCTGCCTCAGCGGAGGCTAGCCATCGGCGCAGGACACGATTTTAGTGCCCAAGTTTATGCGCAAGCACAGGTGCACTCTCTATTCCCTCACTCTCATAATCCGATGAGACGGTAAACCGACACGACCGGAGAAAAATCAGGCGCAGGACCAACGGCTTTACGTGCTTTCCGAGGCACGGGGGTGAGACACCGCCAACTTCCCCTCTCTGGGCAACTACTGAGAATTTCTTGACAGAAAAACTCAATAATTAGTTTTTTTGGCCCGACCCGGGATTCGAACCCAGGACCTCCTGATCAGCAGTCGTACTACTACAACCACTAGACCAACGAGGCAGTCATACGTAATATGTATGTATGATAAAAATCATGATTCACGCAATTTCATCAATATGACAATATAAACTTATCATCGAAATAATTATATAAATATAACGTTTACATTTTATTAGTGGCAAGAGCACTTGTCTCGCAAACCCGACCCGAATGCAATGCCGCCAGGAGCAGCTGAAGCTCTAAAGGAGGCTGAAGCTACCATCGGCAATCGTCTCCTGAAAACCCAACCAGACTATGTTGCTTCGCCTGGGCATAACACACAACTGAGAATTTGCCTGGCGAGAAAAGAGGTTTAAAGTTACATTTACATATATTATTTATGCTACATATTAAACTTTAATGTTGCTGTGGAAGTGTGTGCTTGGTTGGTAAGATGGTGACAATTTTATGTCTTATATATTATAAAGCGCCAACTGTCAAAACTGAAGACTGAGTGTGGAGGCATCGTTTCCGGGACACCTGAGATTTTGAGTGAGATTGAGAGGCTCTCTTTGCTCTTCAATTCCGTCTTCCATGGTGGCACTACTCCGGAGGTGTGGAGCAGAAGTGCGGTGGTCTTGTTCTTTATGAAAGGCGACAACGCTCTCTTGAAGAACTACAGACCGATTTCCCTTCTGAGCCGCGTCTACGTGCTGTTTTCGAGAGTCATTACGAATCGACTCGCACGCAGACTCGACGACTTCCAACGTCCCGAACAAGCCAGTTTCCGAAAAGGCTTCAGTACCATAAACCACATATATACCCTGCGGCAGATTGTACAGAAGACCGAAGAGTACCATCTGCCACTTTGCCTGGCGTATGTGGACTATGAGAAAGCCTTTGATTCCGTCGAAATTTGGGCGGTGCTACAGTCCCTTCAGCGGTGCCAAGTTGATTGTCGGTATATCGAAGTGCTGAAGTGTTTGTACAGTAGGGCTACGATGGCTATCCGAGTACAGAACCAGTACCGAGAACCAGAGTTCAAAGCCCATCCAACTGCAGAGAGGTGTAAGACAGGGTGACGTTATATCCCCGAAACTCTTCACCGCTGCGTTGGAAGACGTTTTCAAGCTACTGGACTGGAAAGATACGGTATTAACATCAATGGCGAGTACATCACTCACCTTCGATTTGCCGACGATATAGTCCTTATGGCAGAATCGCTGGAGGACTTTAGCACTATACTCAATGACCTCAATGGTGTCTCCCAACGGATAGGTCTTAAGATGAACATGGACAAAACAAAGATCATGTTTAATGTGCATGTCACACCTATACTGGTAGTTGTTGGGAGCACTATTGTCGAAGTTGTGGACGAGTTCGTTTACCTGGGACAAATAGTCCGACTAGGTAAGTCCAACTTCGACCGAGAGGTCAATCGACGGATTCAACTCGGCTGGGCAGCGTTCGGGAAATTACGACACATCTTCTCGTCTGGTATACCTCAATCTCTGAAAACTAAAGTGTACAACCAGTGCGTGTTGCCAGTGATGACTTACGGATCAGAGACGTGGTCCTTCACTGCTGGCCGTATGAGGACGCTCAAGGTCGTTCAGCGAGCTATGGAGAGGGCTATGCTCGGAGTTTCTCTGCGTGATAGACTCAGAAATGAGGATATCCGCAGTAAAACCAGAGTGACCGACATAGCCCAACGGATTAGTAAGCTGAAGTGGCAATGGGCCGGCCATATAGCTCGAAGAACCGAAAACCGATGGGGAAGAAAGGTTTTCGAGTGGCAGCCTCGTACCGGTAGGCGTAGTGTAGGGCGATCCTCCACTAGATGGAGTGACGACCTGGTAAGACATGCAGGAAGTCGATGGATACAGGTGGCTCAGGACCGTGCTTTGTGGCATTACTTGGGGTAGGCCTATGTTCAGCAGTGGACTTGTGAAGGGCTGTAATGATGATGATGATGACATTTTATATCCTATTTTGTATTGTTTGATTTATTAGTACAATAAAAATACTGATAAAAATGTTTTATTTCATCAGTTATGTTTACTTGTCTATTCATCTGATAAGAAAATACGCTTTTTGAAAATAATCGAATCGCTGGAGGACTTTAGCACTATACTCAATGACCTCATGGTGTCTCCCAACGGATAGGTCTTAAGATGAACATGGACAAAACAAAGATCGTGTTTAATGTCCATGTCACACCTATACTGGTAGTTGTTGGGAGCACTATGCTCGAAGTTGTTGACGAGAATGTTTACCTGGGACAAATAGTCTGACTTGGTAAGTATAACTTCGACCGAGAGGTCAATCGACGGATTCAACTCGACTGGGCAACGTTCGGGAAATTACGACACATCTTCTCGTCAGATATACCTGACGAGAAGATGTGTCGGTATACCTCAAACTCTGAAAACTAGATTGTACAACCAGTGCGTGTTGCCAGTGATGACCTACGGATCTGAGACGTGGTCCTTCACTGCTGGCCATATGAGGACGCTCAAGGTCGCTCAGCGAGCTATGGAGAGGGCTACGCTCGGGTTTTCCATGCGTGATAAACTCAGAAATGAGCATATCTGGAGTAGAATCAGAGTGACCAATATAGGCCAAAGGATTAGTAAGCTGAAGTGGCAATGGGCCGGCCATATAGATCCAAGAACCGATATACCGATGGGGAAGAAAGATTCTCGAGTGGCAGCCTCGTACCGGTAGGCGTAGTGTAGGGCAACCCCCAACTAGATAGAGTGACGACCAAGTAGGACATGCAGGAAGTCGATGGATGCAGGTGGCTCAGGACCGTGCTTTGTGGTATTACTTGGGGGAGGCCTATGTTCAATGATGATGATGATGATATATTGTATTGTTAATTAATTTATTAATTTCTTAATATTTAATTATTATAATTATATTGAAAAAAATTGAACTGTAACTTAAATAGATTATTGTTTCTCTCAGGTACACGACACTAAACGCGAATTCAATGAAAAAGTTCTTGAACTAAGGCAGCACAAATTGCGCCTCGTACAACGAATGAAAGATATTGGGGAGCGCTTGACAGAAATTCGAGCTGAAATTCCCCATAATTTGATTAAAACTCCACCTCCAATTCCAGTAATTGACGACGACCTTGAATTCCCCGAAAAGAACTTAGAGGTAAGTAAAGTCACTAGTACTATTTTCTGAAGAAATAAATTTTGTGATGGAAATAAAGAGTAAAATTGATCAAGTAGATCTAAAAAAGCTAGCTAATTCATCTGTAAAACTTAAATACTCCCAAAAAATAAAAAATAACCTTTGGCGAACAAACATAAACATGTTAAATTATGCTTAAATGCCTTTACGATTCTGATATTGCCCCAGAGAAAATCGCAATCATTTTTGAGAGTTGCACATTGCCATGATCAAAATCGTCGTAAAGATATATCTTTTTTTTTTGAAAATAATAATGCAATGCCATTTTTCTGGCATTTCCCATACTCTTCTCTTTTGGGATCCACAGAATCTAATAAAGTGATGAATTATTTTACACTACTGCCTCATTGTTTTATTTCTGATGTGTAACAACTTTTCTCTCACTTTCCTGCATTTGCGGGAGTGATTTGATGAAATTGGACGGAAGTGTGTTACATGAAGCGCGCTTTTTGATTTGACCAATAAGCGTACGCGGTGGTAGTAAAGTGTGCTGTTGTATAAACTAATCTATATGTGTAAACTTTATTAATAAAATAGTATTAACTATTAATAATAAGTGATAAATCTGTAGATCATTGATAAAAATTAGGCAAGTAATAATGAATAATTATTCTAATAAATACTTCAGTATTGAGTTTTTTTTATTTTGAGGTTAGTTTCTGTCGCTGCTCAGTTGATATTTTTAATTTTGATATAAAACAAACCCATAGCTTTTTTCAGGATATAATATTAATGTTGCTTAATATCAACGTGAGATTTCAAATGTTATATTAAACCTTTACCCATATGAAATAAGTTAACGTAATTTTTTTCCATTAATCAAAGTAATCATCCATGCAATCGATGCATCTTTGCTAACGCAGAGGCAGTTTGTTGATGCCAATCTTGAAGAAATCAGCTCGACTAGAGGCAATGAATTGTCCAGACACTTTTTACTGCCTCTCGCTTATTGAATTTTTTACCGCCTAAAGTTATCCAAATTCTGGGAAAAGTAGAAGTCTATAAGCAAGATCTGATGAGTATGACGGATGATGGAGAGCTTCCAACCCCAGCTCTTGTAACTTAGAGGCCGTCTGTTGTGCAGAATGAGGTCGTGCGTTGGCGAGCAGGAACAGCGGAGACGAACGATTGATCAAAAACGGTTCTTCACAGTATACATCTGCAGTAGTGTTGCCCAAAATCGGCCTTGGTCTTGCAGTCTTGGTCTTGTTCTTGCATGAGACAAGCAAAAACAAGACCGCCTAATTTTAGCAAGACCAAGACCAAGACTGACCGTGCAAGATTTGAGCAAGAACAAGACTAAGCCTGCGAGACTCTTGCGTCTTGCAGTTAGGAATGAGTGTCGTTTCAGGGAATATAGGAGTTAGGGCATATGCCTAGGGACTCTATGAGACGCAAAAAATATATAAAAAATATTTGGAAAATTGGACTTATGCGCATTACGAACAATACCATAAACATACGTAGCGGATGAAAATATCCATTAAAAGAAAAAACAGTGCATCCCTAGTTTTGACCATCGGCACTTTGATAGTGCGCGGCGTCTTGTTGTCGGCATCATCAAAGGTCAAATACTGACCTGTCAAAGAAATTTTGCAGCTATTTGGAAGTACAAGGTCAAGATACACGCGCCGGCGGCTTCTATTGATATTGCATTCAATCGTCGCCTCCGCGCCGCACGCACTACATTTGACACTGTAATGCCGCCACAGAGTACATGTTCCAAAGAATAAAATAAGTTTGCGGGTGCTCAAAATGAACACGAATACATTATACTGATCTCGCAAGGAATATTGTAATTAGATAATGGTAAGGATAGGTTGATACAATAATAATTTATTCTAGTAAGTAATTATTATAATATTAACTATATGGGTTTATAATAATTACTTACTATTATTATTATTACCTAATAGATAAACATGTTCAATAAGTTCCCTACAAATCTCGATTTTTGGAACTGTGTGTTTTTGAACACAAAGTGTTCGGTCGTCACCCATTTGATAAATATTGTAGACACTTTTAATACACTTGAAACGTGTAAGCATATTGTACAATGCTAATCGAATAATATAAAAAGTGTTCAAATTAAATAAAAAGCGTAAAATAAGATCTATGTACTTTTTAGGAGCCCGAGTATCTCTTAGAGAACCGTTTAAAGAAATTGATTGCATCGAATTGATGTAAATAATAGTGATTTGCACAATTTTAATAGTAGAAATAAAAATAAAATCACAATACCTGCTTTCCGGTTACACAAAGTATATAATGCGTTCTTGGGTAGCGATATACTCTTTTATAATAAGATTCCAAAAGAAATGTTAGATCTTTCACCTTTTCAATTTAAGTTAGACAAAAATGCTTGGAACTGACCTCTCGTACTACACAGGACTAGCTAGAAATTTCTAAACCGATTTGATATCTATGTAGCGGCGCTGTCGTCGCGCCACAAGCGAAATACACCGAAGCCTTAAATCACGCTATCAACATTCCGAATCATAAACAGTATATATAGAACATCTCCGAACTATCACACGGTGCGCCCTCTTTTCCCAAAAGAGGGTCGCTCATGATAAGGCACAATAGAGCTTAATCAGCCGGTTGCCTGTCCCCAAAGGCGGTTTTTAGAGGGTATCACTTAGGGTCCCCGGTAGGACAGTGAGCCCCTCGGCTATCGAGGTATGCGTAATGCATTTTCCGCCTCCCTACGTATAGGGTAGCCCTTTAATTGCTTCGGGCGCAAAAAAAAAAAACTATCACACGGAGTGTCGGCCGCTCCCCGGGCACAACACCTTGCCCGGCGGGAGATCTCCCCTTTTCCTACCACGGCCACAGTGGTGACCCCGACGTGATCGTTTCGTTTTTTTTTTTCGTTTTTTTTTACATTTCGTTTCGTGATACATTTGACATTTTATGTTTGACTTATCGCTTTACATAATTATAGAACTATTGTAAAAATATTTTGAAAAGAGCAACTACTGAGTTTCTTACTTTCTTCCATGATTCTTCTCAGTAGAATAAGAACCCCTGGACATGGAAAAGAAAAAATTGGGGAAAACAGTGATTATATGACTATTCAAAAGTGTAATTTTAATGCCTACTTGAATAAAACATATTTGAATTTTGAATTTCAAACGAGTGAAGGCAAATTTAATTTAATTAACGTAGATTAATTCAATTACAAGAAGAACATAATATACACAATTTTATTTACATATTTACATTTCATTTTTACGTAGGCACACTATACCTATCTGGCAACGCATCTACTTTATTAATCTTCTGAAGAATCATTAATTTTATCAAAGGATGCCGAACTTTCCTTTGTCGGTCTTTCGGCGTGTACTTACAAATAGTAGTATTTATTTTAATTCCAGTCATTCCCAATTGAGCTTTGCTTCGAGTCTAATGTATTAATTGTTTTTACTCTAATCCTTGTTGTTCTCGAAGTGATAAGTTTACAATTTGACATGAGTGACGAAGAGCCGAATAGTTCTAGTAGGAGTAGTGAGTTGGAGTTATAGATCTAAAAGACCTAAAAGTAAATTCGATGAGTTTTGTGACATAATTCATGCATCCCAAATTGCTTTGTGTAAATTATGCCAACATAAAAAGGTAGATTATAGTGTTAAATATATATTTATAATTCACTCATATTTTCATTTGTTTTTATAATCGGTGAGACACATGATTTACTGTTTTATTTCAGTCTGAAAATAGCAGTGACAACATCACGACAGCTACAGTTGATTGGATGGTTAAAAAAATATCTTCCCTTCTTATTTTTCGATGACGAAGCTACACAAGTATATTATCTTAAGAAACGACTACAACAATTTTCATCTAAAATGTCATTTACCATTGATGGATGGACGTCAATTGCTGGTAGGAGTTACTACGGGGTCACTATTCATTATGCAGACAACGAATGGAAGTATCGATCTGTAGTCCTTGATTTTATACCATCACGCGGTCGACATACTGGGGAAGAAATTGCAACGATTTTCCACGAATGTTTATTGGAATATGACATAATTGATAAAATACAGGGTATGACGGTCAACACCGCAACTACAAATACCAAATTTATGTATGAATTGGACAAACGGCTGCCACACTTTGATTCAGACAATCAACATTTCCGGTGCTTTGCTCACATTTTGAACCTTGGTGTACAAGATTTATTAAAGACCATAGCATTACACAGTGAAACTGACAATAAGGGACAAGAACAGGAGTATGAAGATAATGAAGACGAAACTGAGGAAGATGAAGAATATGCGCCAAATATTGCTGACTCACGTACAGCTATAACAAAATTACGCAGTATTTCCAGTAAAATAAAAAGAAGTGAGATATTGAAGAGGAAGTTTCAGTCTGCTTGTGAAGCAGCTGACGTGCCATCAAATCTGAACCCCATACTCGACTGTCCAACGAGATGGAATTCCACACATGATATGATTGGATTTGGTTTAAAAGTGAGAACTGGCATTAACATATTGTGCACTTCTGTCACCGAATTGAATGATTTTCAAATCACAGATAGTGAATGGCAAATACTCGAAAAAATTAATAAGTTTCTAATAAACTTTAAACTTCTATCAACGAAACTTGGTGGAGAAAAATATGTTACATTACCGCTAGTCATTGTATCATTCAATATCTTGCTCGATAAAATTGAATCCATGGTAAAACAATTAGATGAGAAACCTAATCGATCCGAAGTGGGGGGGTCTTGGTTTTCAACACTCGTTTTTTCAAATTTAATGAACTTTATAAAGAATATAATAGTCTACACTCAGTGAATACATCTCTATAATCACTAAGAAATGAAAAGAAAGTATGTGAATATGATGAAGATGAAGACGTAATAGACTTTGAGAAATTATCTCTCGACGTCATCTGGATCTGGATCTTTTCATCAAGGCTTAGTTATAGATGAGTTGGAGGAGTACCTAAGTAAATCCAGAGCCGCCAGTTCGGAAGACATTTTAGAGTGGTGGAGGACGCATGAGACAGAATATCCGACTTTATCGAAGATGGCCCGTGATTTTCTTTCAATACCTGCAACTTCAGTACCTGCTGAGAGATTATTTTCTAAAGCATCATTACTAATTAGAAAACATAGAAATAGGTTAAGTGATGAGTCAGCCAGATGGTTACTTTGTATTAATTCTTGGTCAAAAGAATTAATATAAAGTAACAGTAATGTCAAAGCTGTTGTGTACTGTTATGTAATTTAATTTGTATTGTATTTTTTTTTTTTATTTAAATAAATGGTAAATTGTATAACTCTTTTATTCCATTTCATATAAGGGTCTATCAATCTCTTTCTAGATAGATAATGTTCTTTATAATACAGTCAAGTTAATGTCATTAATTTGTTTTTTATATGTTTTGACTAAGTTTTAGCACATGTAAGCTTATTAAATGAAAACGTTTATTAAGAAACAGACTCACTCCCGTGGTCGTGAGACTTGGTAGACAGCTCAGTTGGTTCGAGCATCGGCACGGATCGCTTAGGTCGCGGGTTCAAACCCCACCCGGTATTAGTTGATTTTTCGAATTTCTCATTAAATGTTTAGACATTTATTAATTTGGTTGGTCTTTCTATGGCTATGTTAATTCAAGCTCAAAATGTGCCTACTCTGTTAAGTTGTTCTAAGATCTAAAGTAACGTTTAATAAAGAACAATTGGCTAATAGGTAATTGCGAGACTTGCGAGACTCTTGCTGCAAGACCAAGACCAAGAACAAGACCAAAAACAAGACTGAGAGCGCAATACCAAGACCAAGAACAAGACCAGGTGTATTGGCGCAAGACCAAGACCAAGACTGGCTAAGTCTCGTCTTGTTCTTGCATTTGGGCAACACTAATCTGCAGTAACGCTCATCCTGTTTGGTGGAAAGCTGTGATCAAACACACCGGCGCTAGACCACCATGCAGTGACCATCACTTTCTAAGGATAAGTTTTCGTTTACAGCATTGGTAAAGTGCTGAACCAGAATCCAACCAACTTGCTGAGTACAGTGAAGTAACAATGCGGTTCAAACTCTTTCGCTTGTACGCCTGTTAAGCAGTGCAAGGCACGGGTTCACCCGTACTTCGCACTGGCGATCATTCAGTTCTTGAGACACCTATTTGTCAAGCTTTTTTTACCTTGCCAATTTGACGCAAATAAACAAATATTGTTTTGATGCTACTGTCAAAACCTGCTGTCAATTCAGCCGTAGATTGAGTATTATCTATATATCGTAGTTCCACAATCGCCGTCGTGCGTCGCTGTCGACCAAAGTTTTCGGACGACCACGAAGTTTTATTTTCGGAACGGAAGCGGGTTAACCAATAACAGATGGTGCGTTCGTCTGTAGAATTGGCTCCGTAAACGTCATTGGTGTATCGTGTCGCTTGTGCCGCGTTGCTACCCCGACGGTACTCATATTCCACAATTACTCGAATTTTTAACGTGTCCTTGGTGACGAAAAGATTGAAATGCAATGAAAATATAACGTTTATCAATAAGCAAATGACTAATTTTGAAAAAATAATTTCTTGTTTTTGAAATTAATTTGAAATTAGAGCTCTTAGCCAAACAAAAAATATTTCGATTATAAATAGCCAGTACTGCAGATCGGCAATTTCAGTACAAAACGAGAGAGTCGTACAGTAGTCGCATGTGATCAAGTCACTACTTAGCGGTCAGCCGCCGTAGAGTCTACATTACCTGAAGATGCCTCGTGTAGAGGCGAAACACGTGTCGTATTATCGTCGAATGGAATAGTGGTGTTGGGAGTAGTGGTGCTGGGACTAGTGATGACGGAGTTAGTGCATGCAATTGAGGGAGGGCGGGAGGTGCTCTTCAATCCAGGTAAGACTCATCATAAAATATGTTTAGCGGAAGATTGCAAAGAAATGTATATTTTTATTTTTTATTATAATGGATTTCCGCAAAGTAACGCCTGATTCTATCAATTATCATATCAATGTCTTCAGAAAATGGATGAGGTAGGTAGGAGGATAAAAAACTGTCCATTTCGATGATTTAACCAAACTCATTATCTGACATGCGTCTATAGTACATGCTATAATAATTTCTTCTTCGGCGCTCCATGTACAAATGTTATTTGGTACCTGGACCTAACGCTTTCTTTAAAAGCCCTCTATCAAGCATTAGATTTAAAATACCGATAAAGACAAAGAATAACAAATAATAGGATATAAAAAGGTGCTTCAACACTGACGCCTTACTTTATCCTGTCTTTAGCAACGCTGAGAATTACCGCTAATTGAAAATGTATTTACAGATAAAGCCTATTGTTATTCAACCGGGTCCAAAATTAACTGCGGCTAAAAAATCACTGCAGGAAAGAAGAAAGTCCTTAGTTTATCCTCAACCACGAGTACGTCAGCCGCGAGTTTCAAGATTTATACCTATTACAGGTTTTTTTTTGCTTTATTTATTATTAATAATAAAAATCAACATAATGCTAATATTTCAGAGCAAAATTACCAAAAATACTAAGTAATAATATATTTTTGTCAATCGATATCTTAAATTTATTTTTCAGAAAGCCGCCCATTAACAGCGACTTGGGAGCTTTTAAAAATTAAACAAGGCCAAGAGTCTTCAGCGATAGAAGTCGATATTCGAGAAAGACGTATTAAAAGGTATCACGAAATGTTCGTTATTAATTACTATGCTTCCCTTCCTAATTGTCCTTTTCAAAGTCATCTGTGGACTCCTCGAAAGGCATATTACGTGGTCGGTCAAATTAAGGCCTGACCATATTGTGGCGCAAATATTTTTTTGAATCTGATGTCATGGTATCCATTGTATAATGCAATGGTAATAGACAAATAGCTATATAACTATCATTTCATAACCCCCAAATATTGTTCATAAGCGTGTATATAGACATTGAAAATAATTTGACAGAGTCAACAAATACTTTGAGCAGCATGAGCGCAGTAATTGATGAGTTGGCCTTTGTTGACATATAAAATAATTGCAAAAATATAATTCTTTCGATTGTTTTGGTTGTAAAATGTATTATTAATATTTACCTGTAACTAATCTATGTAACATCTATAATTCTAACATTGCCTGAAAAAATAAGTCCAACGAATTTTATAAACTGTATAAAAAGCCCGTATAGTACAGAAAACTAAGATGGATTACCTCACAGCCTATAATTACAATGACTATACCATTCTGGCTTGGAACACAGCAGCGCAAGTACTTATCATTTTTTCTATCAAGTTACTCCAGTAATTTTAGTATAAAACGTTAAATATAATTAAACGTCAATATAAATACATAAGATCAAATTAAACAAGATATCGAAACTTAATTTAAGGTCGAAAAAATCGTTATCAATTCAATAACTTTTCAAACAATATTTTATAACGAATAAAGTACAGAATTTATAATCTATAGGAACTAATATTATAAATAAGAATTTATTTAAGAAGTAAGCAATGCTCTCTGTGTTGTTCATTACTCTGCATACTGAGCTAGCTCAGTCAAATATAATATAATCAAAGCCCGTGCGGCTTTGATTATAGGTATTATACATGTCTATATAAACAAAGCGTAGGTACTGGCGGCGCGTGGTTTGCTGCGAAACGAGCAAGGTCATTCGCGTCGTATTCGGCCTTAAGTGGAGATAACGCATTATTAATTCAATGAAAACTTACCTCTGTTAGTCATAATACGATCGTTGCTAAAAGCCGAAATAAGATGAGGCATCCCTCATCTTTTTTCGTGGCGCTACAATCAAGTTGCGTTGGTGCAATGAATGTATCGTTCGTGCGTCTAAAAACCTCGTGAATTGAACACATACAGCTGTACCAAGCAGGGTGCAAGAGGGATAAGGCAGAGGGCGGGGACATTACGCAACTTGGTTTTTACCGGTTAATTATCACTACCTAAACCTAAATTTGTGAAAGACCAGTATTCCGCAAAAACTGTTATAAGCCGCTAAAGTACAGCCTCTAACCGAAATCGTCTTCGGCTTGGAGTCAATGACCGGAACCGTTTTCCGCGCCCTACTTCTGTGATTCATTTTCTTAGATTTAAAATGTACTAGACATAAATGGGTTCACACCTTAACGGAAACAGAAACTTTTTTATTAAATATAGATTATAAATAACACTTAATGAAAGTCACTTTTTTTTCATTTACACAGGTTTTTGAGAACTAGTTCCCAAAAAAAACTGTGTTCTCAAAAGAACTAGTTCTCAAAAAAACCTGTGTCCTGGGAAAAACCAGCAAGAAACCCAGCGGGACTATATTTTTTTTTAAATAAAAGTTTTCAATCATTTTTGTTACAATTAACAACAAAATTAGAAATAGCTTGGTGGCGATCACCCTTCCCAGGGGTTATTATCGTCCATGGTCATGGTAATAAATAAACATTATTATTATTATTATATATTAATAATTATGCATTCATTTGACTGCCTCGTTGGTCTAGTGGTTATAGTAGTGCGACTGCTGATCATAAGGTCCCGGGTTCGAATCCCGGATCGGGCCAAAAAAATCAATTCCGTCAAGAAATTCTCAGTAGCTGCCCGGAGTTAGGTAGGAGGTTAGTGGTGTCTCACCTCCGTGCCTCGGAAAGCACGTAAACCGGCGTACGATGCGGGCGGTATCGAGGAGCACCGGCTTCTATATTTGAGCCCGGAGCGGTCCGTCACGGAGTCCCAGTCGCCTCAGATGACCCGAGAGGCTGACTGGGATTAGCCCATTCGCAGAGACGACTACAGGAATAATTTCGACCGGCAGACCACCCCACATGTCGGCTACCTCGTGAGCCAGGTCCAGATATTTTGTTCGTTTATCTGTTTCTGCTTTCACGAGGTTCTCGTCATACGAAATGGTAATTTCGACCAAAAATATCCTTGACTTTGCCCGGTCCATCGTCCGTCCTCGTAGGACACACATTTTGAATCGTTACCTACAAAAGGTTGAAATTGTAGTGTACTGCTTATTGTAAAATTTTATTTGGCTAGCTGTCAAAATATATCAGCCCGACTAGAAAAACGCTTCTAATGTGATATTTCATAGTGTTGACCGCCTTTCTTACTTTTTTAGTACTCTTTAAGTAAAACTTTTTTTTTATTGCGTTTGATTGAACTTACTTATTTTAATTACTGACGTTTCGAGTCGAGTGCTTTACAACACCTATGGTCACGGGGAACTGAGGAAGTTGACGTCCCGATGTCATACTTAACCCGGGCTACCTTTAGTTTTTGAATATTAAATATGTTCAATATAACGTGATAAAATCCGAAAAAATAATTTTATTAAGTTTCTAGTATTCATGTAAATATAAGAAAAGGAATTAGGTTAATTTAATCTTAAAAATAATAATAGTATTGACGGTTTTAAATTTGTAATAATATTCCTTTCCATCAACCGCTCCTGTAAATTAGCATCATGCTAAGCATATAATATAAGCAGATAGCTATAGATATAGATATAGATATATATAGAAACGACTCACTGGCCCATACTATAAAGGAGAAAGCCGATCTGCTAGGCTATTTCTCTGCGTCCAACTTGATTCTCGATGATGGGGGGAGTACGCCGCCGCCCATCCCGCGGTGTGAGTGCTCCATGCCGGAGGTGCGATTCACACAGCGTTGCGACTCCTCTCCCTGGACATCCACAAGTCGAGTGGGCCTGACGGAATCCCCCCAATCGTGCTGAGGACGTGTGCTCCAGAGTTGGCATCGGTTTTAACGCGTGAACGCTGTGAAGAGATGTTGCATCTCTTTGCATTTTCTTTCGCATATACCACGGAGAGTGCTCTGAGGAATTGTTCGGATTAATCCCAGCTGCCAAATTTCATAAACGCACTACGCGGCAAACCTCCCGATACCATCCACAACCATCTGGATGCTTGGCGGTCCACCACTGTACGTTCACAAGGAGTTTTCTTCCGCGTACGACCTCTCTGTGGAATAATTTACTACATCAGGTGAACCGGATTCTCATTTGCCCCTTTTTTCTTTAAAAATACAACCGCTACAAGTACGTTTAAAATGCATGTATTTGTTAGCTAGCTAACCTATGACTTTGAAGTTCATTTTATTTTCAGTCCTGTCCAATCTGCATCCATCGACTTCCTGCATATCTTATCAGGTTGTGGGGCCTCCCTATACCTCGCCTAGTGGTACGAGGCTAACACTTGAGAATCTTTCGTTCCCATCGGTTGTCGGTTCTTCCAACTATATAACCGGCCCATTACCACTTCAGCTTTCAATGGGCTATGTCCGTTACTCTCGTTCTGCTGCGGATAGCCTCATTTTTAAGTGAAACACGCAGAGAAACCTCAAAACTAGCCTCTCCATAGCTTGCTGAGCAACCTTGAGCTTTCTTATATGGCCAGCAGGGGACGACCACGTCTGAGATCCACAAGTCATCACTGGCAACAGAAACTGGTTGCACAAACTTATTTTAAAGTTTTGAGGTATACCTGATAACAAGATGTGTCTTAATCCCCCGAACGTTGCCCAGCAGAATAGAATCCACCGATTGACCTCTTGGTCAAAGCTGGACTTACCTAGTCCGATTGTTTGTCTTAGGTAAACGTACTCATCGACAACTTCAAGCATAGTGCTCCCAACAACTACCGGCATACGTGTGACATGGACTTTACACATAATCTTTGTTTTGTCCGTGTTCATCTCCGAACGAATACGTCATCCGGTGAGAGACACTATTGATTTCATAGAGCATAGTGCTTAGGTCCTTTAGGGATTCTGCCATAAGGACTACATCATTGGAAAATCGAAAATCTAAATTGATTGAAGTTAGCTATTGATGTTAATATCATATCCTTTCCAGTCTGGTAGCTTGAAAACGTCTTCCAATGCAGCGATGAAAAAATTCGGGGATATAACGTCAACCTGTCTTACACATCTCTGCAGTTAGATGGGTTGCGTACTTTGGTCCTGTTCTCGGATAGATAGATATTTTCAACAACGTCTTCCGTATCTATATTACAAAGCTTTGTTCTTTATTTCTATTTAGTATTTATAATAATTTTATAGATTTGTTATTCATAAAAACTTTTTATGACCTAATCACAGACATCTTTATGAGCAAGACATGTTACTAGTGGATGCTGCGATTTCAGTCCAACAATTCGATTCCCGTCTCAGAGAACTACAGAGAGAACGCATACGAGTACAGGTACACGCATTTGAGTAAATTCAATTGTCAGTGATGGAAACAGCATATTATTTCGAGTAACCTTAGATTTAATATAAATATTTGATATCCAAGATTCCTTTTATGTTTTCACATTTTTCTCCATCTTATTCAGTATTCAACTTATTAACATTGTTTAATTAACAACTTAGTAACATTTACAGCGTGAAATAGTAGCTTAATGCTGCTGTATTTCGTATGGTGAGTGTAGAGAACCGGAGACCCTTTTTACTGGAAACGAGGCATTCCATCTTAGTCCTCACGGATGACAACGCATCTGTATTTTGATTCGTAATCGAGGATAGATGTAGATGTCTATGGGCCACAGCAACCGCTTACCATCAGGTGGACTGTGTGCTCGTTTGTCACCCTATCCTATAAAAAAATTGTAAATTCAAAAAATAAATTCACGCAGATCAACTTAACTATCAAACAGTACTTTCTATTATATAACTATTCTCATTTTTTTAATTCTATTTATGTAGGTATTATGGGTACAATTTAATAAATTTGAAAAAGTAAATCAACATAAACATTTAATAGGAAAAAAATGAACTTTTGGAACTTCATTTATACCAATTGCATCAAGAAATGAACGTTCTGAACCGCTTCGAAGCGCAAGAAGATCGGCTCGCTGAGCGCGTTTACGCTAAGCTGATGCAGGTAAATAATTCATTTACTACTATTAACTGTTATTTAAAACATATTCCGTAATCGATATTTTTTGAATAATAAGTTTAACCTCATTTAATCTGATAAAATCAGTAAAATTTTAATTGTTTTAATTCAACATGACTAAATAAAAAATTTATACATAACCTCATTCAGATTCGCGGCATTCAAGATCAAATTCAAGACTGCGAGCACCGTATCGAAGAGCACATTACTGAAAAAGAAGAGCTGGACGAGGCATGCCAGGAAATGCAACACCAGTTTAAACAACTCGTGCAGGATAATAAATTTGCTGATTTCTTAAGAAGAATTTTTAAGAAAAAATACAAGCCACCTCGTGAGCGGGATGACAATGGTAGCCATTATTATTGCATATAGTACTTCCATAAAAATAAATGCTAATCTTAAAAAAAGTTTAAATATCTTGGCAGTATTTTATCTAAATATTTGTTTGCATTTTTGATATTTTTGAATATATAGCTATGAAGTCCAATTTTGTTCCGTCTTATTCCAAAAAAAAGCTTATTCCTGTTTAAACGAGTTTTAGAGAGTTTTTAATAAATAAGTCCTGGAGAAAATATGAGAATTAAAAATTGGATTTTTATGTTTAATGTTTAAAGATTTCCAAATCTTTACTTTAAAAGTTGAAGAATGTGGGTTAAAAATGGTTGAGTTTATTGTTAAATTTCTTACTGTTAAATTCTTAAACGTAAGTTAATTGACCAAATTGGCAATATATTGAAGATGAACCATATTAAGAGTACCCTTAACTGACGAACGCGCATGCGTATATGGCGAGAGAGGTGTGTCAGGATCGTACCAAATAGAAGTCCATAGGCTCTCCTTTCCCCTCTAGGTGACAGTCATGAGTGTTTATGTATGTTTATATTATGTGTATAATTTCACAGCAAATGTCTAATTTGGTGAAAATGGTTCCGCCGCTGCTAGGGAACTTCTTTCATGACAAAATATAGTCTTCTCTATACTCGAGACTATTCATAAATCACATTTTGCAAGAAGAACAATTTTTTATACAAAATCTAAAAAAGATACCTCTTTTTAACTAATTTTTCATTAGAAGCTATTGTTTTGATGATGAAACGAAAACATCAACCACCGCCATTTTATATTTATTATATTATGAAGTTAAATTCTTGTAACTTATATAATAATTTCAGAACCTTCCACCAGTTTCTGAATATTAAAATTAAACTACTTAATTCAATTTTATTCTTTCATTCACTTTAATTTAAAATTCTTTTCTAAAGAGTCATCGGAATCTGAATCGTCGACTTCATCTAGTGAAGAAGAAGATGAAGGAAGTCTCGATAGCCGTGATATTGGCCCGATACGTTTAGATCCCAATGTTTGTCCCGAAGGATGTGACAAAGTAATCTATGATAAAACTTACGAACTCCGTAGTAACAGGTTAGTGTTTTTACGTAAACACGCAATAACTCAGTGTGCATAATTTTGTTTTAGTCAGAAATATCTCCAATAATTGTTGATGCATCTGTTAGTTATCTATCGTATAACTTCTGAACGAATTGACGGAATGTTCTTTAATATATTTTTTTGTTGAGATGATGGTTCATATAATATATAAGGATCCGATAGGTGGAGTAAAGAGTTTGGACCCGATAATTGGCGCTGTTGTAAAATTGTCGGCTTGTTACTAAAATTATTTTTACACTGTAAAAAATCCGGATGGTAGAGAAACTTATCGTGTTATCTAGCAGAAAAAAGGTAGCTAGTAATCATTTAAATACATTTTATGCCACATTGAATTTTTTGACACTAAAATTATCAGATTTTAAATGCCAATTTTAACGTTTTTGAGGGCCAATTTGTGTTTAACATCAATATAATGTTAATTTTTAAAATCGGAAAAATTACATTAGTCCGTAAAGCTGACTTGCTTGACTTGCTTTAGTTTTCATTAATTGTTATAGGTCGGAGTAGGTAGAGCTGTTTTTGCTACTTGCGACATACGGACATAACATGGATATACCAAATATTTCCCGGAATCCCGGGAATTCTCGGAAATAAAAAAAAACATTGTTTAAGTAGTTTTTATAGGAGTAGGTAGAGGTATTTTTTCTACTTGCGACATGCAGACATAATATGGATATACCAAATATTTCCCGGAATCCCGGGAATTCTCGGAATTAAAAGAAAACATTGTTTAAGTAGTTTTTATAGGAGTAGGTAGAGGTATTTTTTCTACTTGCGACATGCAGACATAATATGGATATGCCAAATATTTCCCGGAATCCCTGGAATTCTCGGAATTAAAAAACATTGTTTAAGTAGTTTTTATAGGAGTAGGTAGAGGTATTTTTATTATTTACTACATGCGGACATTACATAGATAAATTCACGAAAAATAGTTCCACAGTAAGTATGATATACATAATTCAAATGCATTTTGTTAGCTGATCAAGACAATCAGATAGAACACTGTCAAACTCGTCTCCAAAAATATTTAGGTAAGAGCAGTCAATAGCCAATGAAAATGGTTATTATAGGGAAACGTGGTGCTTGGTGTGCGCGGGGGAGGTCTTAGTCCACCTTGTATTCTAATTAATTTAGTCAGCTTTTAACACAAGATTGTATTAGAAAAAGACGGTCAGGTGCGTGTCGGATCACCTAGGTAGGATAGCGGGAGAGCACAACTTACGTAAACAAGTTCCCTGCTACTCAGGTCACTAACGAAAAATTCTACTTTAAACTTTTGTATATAAAAATGGCTGTGGGCTGTGCAAACAGACGGACATGGTGAAACTATAAAGCTTCCTTTGAAACTTCGGAAGCCTGAAAAAATATGTATTTAGCAGAGGACAATTACTTTGGTTTTTCACTGAATGTCCTTTGTAGTAAATAGATATTATAAAAATAAAAAACACTTATAAAAATGTGGTAGGTAAATCAAACAATCAGTTTAAAATGTATCCAGTACGTAAAAAACAAATCAAAATCCGTAAATCCAAGCCAAAGTATTCGTGTCAGTAAGATTCCAGAAAGCAGCTAACAAGCCAACGTGAAATAAAATGAGAAACACAATAAATCACACGTGCGCACTCTACAAGCAGAAACAAGAGAGTGAGTGAAACCCGCTGTACTGTACCTGTATCTATGTAAGTGAGATAGCTAATACTTTGGACGTTTTAAGATAGAAAGAGACAAAAAATAAGCGACGAAAACAGCGCGTACGACGGGTCGGCAACATATAAACATATAAACAGATAAACATATAAAAATAAAAGAGAGATAAATTGCTTTGTTAGAGAAAGACGGAAAACATTTTCTTAACATTAACTACAAGAAAAATAGTATGTGTACTGTGTAGTATGTATAGGTAATTAAAAAAGTGATCAATAAAAATTTCTTCTCTCTATTTAAATAAAAAAATTATAAAACTCTTAACATCATTTTTTATTCTGTATTGTGTAGACATTTAATATTTCCTTTTGCAGTAAAGTATATTTAGTATTGTTTCTAACAGTTTTATTTAATTAATTCATATTTCACGAAGCTACCTCTAACAACATTCCAGGATCCCTGTGTATGTATATAAGTAAGTATATACTGTTCGGGTGCTCACCTACTACCTGCGCATATTAACTCACTTAAATCAATCGACAATTTCAAAATCCCGGGATTTCAGAGTCATATCCATGTTAACATCAATGTTTGCGGTCATTCACCCCAAACAGCTCTACCTACTCCGATCACAACTACACTGGGCAATTAGTAATTGTACACTAGATATAATTATTTTTAAATTAATGCCACTAGATTTCATATTTTAGGACGCAGGTATTCAAATTAGTTACCATCGTAAACCCAAATACCAAATAGTAACCGAGAATAAAATCATTAGCCCACTGTTGGCAGCGTAAGACAATTTTGATAAATTGTGTAGTGATCGCCATTTCGTTTTTTGAATGACGTAAGAGGCAACTATGAGAAATGCTAGAAAACTTAAGGTATTCGATGTGTGCCGATCTACGGCGTCGTTTACCCCAGACGTAAAATATACAGACTAACGATATTAAGCAGCGTCAAACGGTTATACTAATTTAGCTATGCTCAAACTCGCAAGACGTCTGGAACAGCCATCATCAATCTATCTACAATGCGTGATGATTAAGACAAATCCTCACTACTACGGTAAAGGCTTATTACATATTCGGACTGATAAAGAACAAAATTATTCTATTCTATTATTTGGTATGGAATTTCCACGAGCTCGTTTGTCATTCTAATGATATTAAATAAAACTACTAGTATAAAGTGCTATTCTTTCTTATATTGGAAAAAAACTGCAATCTTAATATTAGGTTATTATATACAGACATCAATACGAACAAGAAATGCTGGAAAAAGATCGTCTTATAGATCTTCTGCGCAAGGACATTGACGCTCATAACAAAGTAAAACGAACGATGTCTACGAAACTGGATAAAAGGAAGAACGAACTGAAGGAATTTATGGTAGACAATTTTTTTTTTCAAACGTTTTATTAACGATTTTATGTTAACCAGAGTAAAGAAAATTATAGACGTGATAGATTTTCTTACATTGCTACCTAACAGCAAAATAGTAACTTTGATAATTATAGAAGTATGCGTGATAAACGAGCATACTGTCAAACTAACAGTAATTGAATGCTGTGACCTATAGGCACTTACGCCCGAACCTAATATTCGATCTTAATCTATTTTTAGCTATCCAAGATTGATAATTCAATCCATTTTATGGTTAGACAGTGCCAACAACCAATCCAGGGATTAAAATTACAATCTGTAGAAGCAAGCTATCCTCGGGAGGTCGGATTACAAAAAAAGATAGACCTCTGTGGGTGAATGACAATTTGTGTGTATCAATAACCTATCTGTCAATTTTGACGTTAAAAGATTAGTTAAAAGATTTTGAAATACGAACTATATAACTACTAATATTACAAATCATGAATACATACAAAGCTTGAATTTATTAACAACTTCTTACAGACATGACTGTCTTTTATGTATCAGAATACTTAATTATTTTTTACACTTACATACTATTACACAAATAACTATTTCTTAAAATTTTCTATTTCTAATAGAAGTTTTTCATTTTCTAATTTAGTTTTTTATTTTCTAATTTTATATTTTCTATTTACTAGTTTTTTATTTTGGGACCTTTTCTGTAAATCAAATTTTTTTATTAAATTACAAGTTAGCCTTTTTTAAAATAAAAAAGGAGTATATCTTTTGCCTATTACTATTTTACCTCAATTTACACTGCTTTTAAACTAAAGCGGACTACAAGTTTGACCATACCACCACCTCAGCAAATGGAACACCATGTGAAATTGTTATCTTATAAATTAAAATTCTATCAACATCAAAATAACCATTACCTGTTTTAGGAACATTGAATGTTACTCTCCGTGGTGTATCCGAAACTTTATTTTGTTCAGCAACAGCATAGGTGTTAACCTGAGCCATTGCTGAATGTGGAGAAGTAGGGGTTACAACCATTTCCTTTTGCGGATCTGGCACTGGTGTGTCCTGAAACTCTAGGATTTCTAGATTGACCCTAGCATCACCACCTAATTTCTCTACACCATTTCCATTTGGCACGATACCACCACCATCACTAATCACTACAAAGTGCTCGGGTTCCCTATCTCCCCCATAAGGAACAACTAATCCACTAGCTGCATTCCCCAATAAGCTGGTAACACGATCCAGTATTTCGTCTGGGGGTATATACTCACCAACACCACCGCCAGTCTGCAAATCAAAAAGATGAAATTAATAAAGAATGTAAATAAAATGGTTAATCATTTATTTATACTTAGATTAAAAATAAATAAACAACGAAACTAACGTTTATGCTGTTCATTCTTATTTTAGTGCAACGTTTACGTGCATTCTTCTTTAAATTCTCCCATTTCAGCCGAAGCTGTTGTGGTGTCCGACGACAACTTGTTGCTGTAGCATTAAACTGCTCGGCTATTCGTACCCACTCTTTATCTTTCATTTTATTGCTGCTGGCGTTTGTGGCTTTAGATATTATAATTTTGCTCATTTCAATAAGTTCGAGTAAGGCTTTGCTTTCATCTTTTGAAAGTGGCTTGCTCTTTATCTGAAATAAAAAGCGATTTATGTAGTTGTACATCAAGCATCAAATGATACAATATCTAATGTATTACAATTTAACTTACTATTTGTGGCTCCATTATTTTATTATTCAAAAAGTATTTGCTGTAAATATTTCTGTTCTCGAACTGTGATCGAACCGAAGCAGTGAAACTTGATAATTGTTTCGACCGACGCGACGCGATGAGCGATGACCGATGACGCTGCGGCCGCTACTGACCGGCGGCGTTCCGTTACGTGATTGTTTTCAAACCATAGTTACATTGATTTAAATAAAAATATAATCATTTTATAATTTTAGGGAGAAAAAAGGAGTTAATGTAATAACTTCTAATTAAAGTCAATAGTTATAAATCTAAAATTACATTTTATGTTATTATATTAGTACAACTATTTGAAAGAAGCAATAGTCGCTATGCATAAAACGAAACAGTCGAGAGGAAACGGATCGATCCAAACATCTGTTTGGATCGACTGCGATCGCCGCAAAAAAAAGATTGGGCTTGTTAAGTTATGTTATTGGGATGTGGATTTGGATCGATCTTTGTATAGGGTACAATCTCGGATTGCTATTAATCCTAAAAAAGAGATACGTTATTAAGTTCGGGCGTTAGTCTATCCTCGATGGAGAATTAAAATACACATGCATTGCAACTCCAGAGGGCTAAGATGGAATGCACGATGCACTAGTACTAATAAAAAGGGGACCGATCCGGCTACAGTAAAAATACATAGCGGCGTGGCTCTAAAGTTCAAATTGTTGCTAGTAAGGACCGTCTTGCTAAAACAAAGATGGTTATTAATACAACATTTTATTTTCAGGTAAATTTTATTCAAATTATTCATTTTAATGAAAAGAATAAACTGTTAGCGCGACAGACAGAATTTGGGTCCCAAGTGCTTCATCAAACGTTAAAGGATGACCAAAAATAATTGAATTAAAACATGATTTCGTACAATGCGAATTTTTTTTATTGTGTCTTATTATCGTAAACAAAAATTGGTTTTATGAAAAGGAAACATCATTAATTTATTCAAAAATTTAGATTATATTATTATAGAAAACAACTAAATTTGTCTTTTCTTGCGTCATTACGAGGTTTTCTTAAAATTTATATAATTTCATTAATTAACCTATAGATGGAGAAACAAAACTGCATGAATGAGGTGGATCAGGTGGTGGTCTTGCGTTACGATCAAATCCGTGCATCAGCGATTCGCGATTGCACAGGACCACAAGGGCTATCCAACACCGTGGTCTTTCCGGAAAGGATCCTCATGAAACTGCGCCAAAGAGTGATCGAGTTGCAAGACGAAATTAAGCAACAGAAACAACGACAAAAGTGTGTAATAAATAAATAAATGATTCCTTAAATATCTGCTTAAACATGAAAATAAACCTAGGCATTCTATTTTTTGTAAATTATCATACTTCTATCAATCGTATCATCATTATAACGCCTTAAGAAAACTATTTAAATACCTATCTGAAATACTAACGACATAAAATACTAAAATGAAAATAAATTTATATTGAGTGAGTGCTAGACAATCGACTGCCCTATATTAGTGGAGTCGTAAGAGTCGACACAGGGAAACTAAAAATGAAATGGAATGCATCTTCATGATAGCAACTCAAAATTATTAAAAAAGCGTTTCAATAACCGATTTAATGTTCGAAAGGTGCCAATTAGAAGAGACGTGTTGTTCGGTCTAAAACTTTAAGACTACTCTAAACTTGTTCTACTTTATTACACTAACTATTATGTCGTGTGGGCTACACAACACTACACCAACTTTAATGACATTTCAGGATAAATCGCACGCATCTTTTCCGTATGAATATTGACCTAAAAGCTATGGAAGCGCAAGCTCAAGAACTACGAGCTAAAATGCGCGATGTGCTAACTCGAAAATTGGGCAAACCACGTCACGTCGATCGTACTCTGGACGATTTGCTGCGACAAATGACACGACGTCACAAATTTTCTGCCACTTTAGGCTCCTTACAACAGATTATGCAACAACTTCGACAGTGGCACGTAAGTCTTCTCTTTTCTCTTTCAGTTTTGTACTAAATTCCTTCTTTGCTTGTTTTCTTTTATGGAAGAAAGGCAAATCAGTATGAGGCTCACCTTAAGTAAGTGAGATCACCGTCGAACATGAAAAACTGCAACACCAGGGAAATTGCAGATGCGTTGCCGGCCTTTAAGGAAGAAGTAGGCTCTTTTCTTTAAGGTCTCTAAGTCGTATTGGTCCGAAAAAACCGCAAATGACAGTAAATTCCACAGTATGGTCGTATGGGGAAGAAAATTCTTCTAATCGAGATGATGAGGATATAATTGGGATTTTTGTCACAGTGTACGGTGGTGGAGTTTAGAAGCTGGAATTAATGTGAAAAATTCCTCTAAGAACCACCCATTGTATGTGCGTTAGAAAATGCATGGAGATGCAACGTCTCACCGCAAGGCCGGTGGATCATGCTGATCGAAAACAACTTGATCGTCGAAGATTCTGGCCGCTTTACTTTGAATACGATCAAGTGGAAGGAGCTGATACTGGGGTGCCCCGGCCCAGAAATGAGAACAGTATTCCATATGAAGCCGGACTTGCACTTTGTAAAGCTGCAAGCGGTGGGTCGGCACGAAATACCGTCTCGATCTACTGAGCACACTAAGCACCAGACGCCAGTTTTTGACGCCAGACCAACCTCAATATTATTTTAATATTCTAGTAGCGTAGATGTTTATTGAAACCTCCCAAGTCACGCCTTAAAAGGTATGCTTAACAAAACAGAAAAGCGGTAACATTAAAGATCTAAGAGGAGTTCCATTAGGTGGTTGGAATAAACTAAACAAGATGAAATCGACTCTGCAAAGTCATTGATTCGCAACCTAAATACGAATCATATTACAGCTGGTTAAAAACAGTGATATTTTGTACCCTCAGTATGAATGACCATACAAGAGATTTATAAATTGTATTTGAATGAGCGTAAAAATTGTGGTGATAATGCAAAAAACCCTGTTTCATTGAAAACTGTATCATATACATTTTTCGTACAAAGTTCAAAGTCTTAAGAAAGACACGTGTAATAAATGCGACACCTTTTCCGCATTGCTGAAAAGTCAATACTTATCTGATGTTGGGAAAGAACGTTTGTTATCTGAAAAAGAAACCTATTTAAAACCTTCTGAAACACTAAGAGATCAAATCAATAAAGACCTTAAAAGGGCCAAATCTGACGAAAAGTTCAAGTGTTCAGTCAAGTTACACTTGTCATGAAAAAAACTTTGCCTCTAGCATGAATTTCCACCAAAATAGTGTTCTACCAACGATAACTACAGTTCTACAATTGTTGAGTGCATGTTGGTTCAAGCGATAAAGATTTTTGCTTGCACCAAATTTACATTTCTCTTGCGCAGTCGGTTTTAACGTACTGTTTTACCATATGGGGTGGAGCAAATAAAACAAGATTTCTTGATTTGGAAAGAGCACAGAGAGCATTAATAAATGTTATGTGTTTTAAGACGTGTAAATTTTCGACTGACTAACTTTATTCTACTATAGGCATTTTATCTGTGTGGAAACTGTATATTCAAAACACTGTATTGAGAAAATACAAAACGATTTCTTACAAACCACACACGAATTTCTTTTTTATAAATTTTTTATTTAAAAAACATTTCAAAATTAGAATTGAAATAATAATCAGAGATGCCATTACGACGATAGCGAGGCTTATCTGGAAATTAGTGGGATACGTGATAAGATCCACAGACGGCAGATGGAGCGAGCAATTGTACTTTGGTACACGCACGCACGCACGCACAACTATTTGTTTAGACTATAACTCTTTATATAAGAATATATTTTCATTTATACATGTACATATTTGTTATTGCACACAGGAACGTCATGGGGAGTTGGAGAAGAAGTATCTAAGACTCCTTAATCAGTATTCGGATCGGCTTCGTTTAGCAGCCGCTCTACAAGCGGATGTTTTGCCACAAAAGGTTATTCATAAATTTGACATTTATCAACCAAAATTATTTAAAACAAATTTAATGAACATGTCAATACAGTAGATTCGTTTTCAACAAATCAACCGTGTAGTGGCGGTGTGGGGAATATCCACAACCTCATATGATCCCGTGGGTGTCGTAAGAGGCGATAGAGGGAAACAAACCAGGTGATGGGTAGCAGCGTCTGCAGTCTCTTCAGCAATGTCTCCCTGATGAGGCAATCTAAGGAGAGGCATATGTTCACCAGATTTTTATGAGCTGTTGTTGTTGAGGTGGGGGTGGGGTTATCAAGAAATTGTAATTTACAAATTAACTTTGTCTATTCAGTTGTAAGAATTTGCTGTAACCATATTCCCTCAGAACAATGAAGATTGCCGTAACCGATGAGTAACCTTGTAAAAAGTATAGAAAAGAGGGTGATCGAATATAGTAGAAGGGAGATAATTGCATTATTGTTACGAATATTATAAATTTTTATGCTTGGATGTTCATCACTGAATCACGCTTTAAGGAATAAGTGAAAGATCGAGGTTATTTGATAAAATACTTTATGTCCCAGTTTTAAGTAAATAGTGTGCGGTTTGGTACACCTTTTTCAAAGCAATTTATATCCAAGGAAACCGCAGGCAGTGAATGAATGGTTACTATAGCCGTTAGTTTTAAATATAATTTTCTAGAACTGCTAGGATTTATTTTAGTAATAAATTATTTTTTTTTAATATTTACTATATGTTTTACTGAACTGATATATTTGTCTCAGCGGTCAAAAGACCCAACTGTTATGGCGGGTGGGTATGAACCAGAACAGTACAAACGAGACGTTGTTCGCCTTCGAATAATTCGCTCGCAGCAATTACAACAAATTGAGGTATAAGGCAGTATTTTTTCAATCTTCATTATATAATTAACTTATTTTAAAATATAAATTTTAAAGCAAATAACAACGAACATTGCTGATAGTAATGTTAATGCCGACAGGCACTATCAGAAGAAATAAACAGTTTGCGACTAAAACCTTTGTCGCAAGCGTCTCAGCCACCACCATTCGAGCTTCCGTCGGTCGAATCTGAACGCTCGCAAATCTACCTCTCTATGCTACCACGCACAACGCTATTGCAGCCTAAAAAGTATTTTCCAATGTAAGTTATAGTGTAAGTTTATATATAAAAATTAGAACATGTAGCAGAAAATACTTTTTTTTATTTCAAGACATTTTTGATTTTAAACACAGTTATTTATTCGAACACTTTCACTGTCCGGTTTTCAGATAATAGTTGACAATAACAATGACCTATTGTAATCCACGGGACAGCGAAAGAGTTAAATTACTTCACTTCACACTTCGTTTACCTCCATCTCAGGCCAACCATTTGTGTTCCTCTTTAGCTTTACTAAGCAACGGCTACTAATCCCTCCACCATAACAAAGTCGAAATTCATACTGTTTTATGGATGGACGACCAGGTTTTGTCTTATCCACACTCTTTTGTAACGATTTAACCTCTCTAGTAACGCACATTTACATTTTTACATTTTAAATCTTCAATACAAAAAAAATATTACTTAGTACTACTTAAATTAAATTGGTGCATAATTAAGCTTGTGATAATATTATTGCAGAACACCTCTAGCGTCTCAAACCCAACTCATTTCCGACGTAAACATAACGAAGCTACTATACGACTGTCTGGACGCAATGCGTGTAACACGAGACGACGCCGATCAGCTTCTAAAAGATCTTACCGACGAGTTGCCCGACGTTTTGTCAGGGTAAGTTTTAGTTACGGATAAATCAGAAATCATGCAATCGTTATGAAATTTTATTTAGCGTTAGTCATAAAATGTTGTTTTATATTTGCGTATATTAGCTGCATTGCATTATATTAGCTGAATTAGTCCATTCGAGGTGTACTACAAATGAAAATACGAATGCGAAAGTATTTGCTAAAATTCATTTTCTTCTTGCCTTGTCGCATTCTCTGCAAGTCCACCCTGGGAGAGCAAGAAAAGTGTTGGCAGGTGCAAACTTCGATAATAAATGAAAAAACAAATATTAGGGACGTTTCATAGAACGTGAGAATGGATATTTACAGGTAGGTAAATCAAGTATTTCAAATATTAAGCCAGCATATCGAATTGCAACCGTAGCAATATATTGTGAGTTTTACCTTGTCGTTTCTCGCAGAATTTCGTTAAGAAATTTTTTTTGTTTGTTCTGCACATTATACATAAAAGTAGCTTCATGATCGAAATATTGAATAATTGCTACCGCCTTGTCTGTCCCAGAAAAAAGAGCCCATCGGTGGAATAACTTGCTTCGAATTACTTAGAATTTGGACATAATTTTTTAGGATCGTAATAGTGAAGCCACGTTACGTCGGATGATACGGTGTAGTGGATATTCTTACACCGCCACTACCAGCTTCTTACCAGCCAGTATTTACTTTTTGAAATTCTAAAAGAATTGTACCGTATTGTCATTTTATTTTGAGCGCTCCTCGTAATCAAATAACACTAATTACTTTATAAAATTAATAGTTCAGAAACTGATAATTTTCCCGCCATGAAATCTGTCAAAACTTAATTCACAGTGGGGCCGCCCTGGTGGCAGATAAATTTAATTTAGTTTTGTTGAGATTTTAAGCCTAGAAACTATGTACTTCTTACTTTCATCTACTTGAAACGTCAACTTAGTATGTTAAGAATGACTGAGGGTATAACTATGATCTCGTTCGAGCAATATAAAGGACAGCATTGATAAGCATGAATCATTCTATGAGTCTTAATCAGTGTCTTGATTCTGTTCGTCATCATGGTTCTGCTACTTCAATCAAAGAGGTAGTGTTGCGGAAAGGCATTTCTTTCGAAAAACGAGTTGGGATGCAGACGTGCAAACTCATTGTTGATTTGCATACTTTGTCTATTTTGATATTATCATTTAATTACATTCGTCAAGGTACTATTATGTGATTATTACCAGGTCGTATTAAGGTGTGATCGAATTGTAACTGTGGTATACTAAGTTTAAATGCCTTGTTGGTCTAGTGGTTGTAGTAGTGCGACTGCTGATCCTCATGATGTCCTGAGTTCGAATCCCGGGTCGGGCCAAAAAAAATCAATTGAGTTTTTCTGTCAAGAAATTCTCAGTAGTTCAGCCCGTGCCTTGGAAGGCACGTAAAGCCGTTGGTCCTGCGCCTGATCTCTCTCCGGTCGTGTCGGTTTACCGTCCCATCGGATTATGAGAGTGAGGGAATAGAGAGTGCACCTGTGCTTGCGCATACACTTGGGCACTATAATCCTGTCCTGCGCCGATGGCTAGCCTCCGTTGAGGCAAGCCGTCATGGCCGAAATTCGGTCTGGAGGACATTATTATTATTGGGGTATCTATATAATTTTCTCACCTGGTTGGGTTCTATAAATATATAATTATAAATTAAAATGAAAAGATAAATATACATAAATATCAATAAAATAAAATAAATACAAAAACTACATAAATAAATAAGATCCAACCAGATGGGAGCCCTCGGCAGGGGAGACCAAACGGCCGAGGGTTAGGGGAAAGGGAAAGAAACCGGCGGACGATGCGGGCGGTATCGAGGAGCACCGCCTACTGCATTCGAGCCCGGAGCGGTCCGTCACGAAGTCTCAGTCGCTTCAGATGACCCTAGAGGATGACTGGGATTAGCCCATTCGCAGAGACGACTACAGGAATAATTTCGGCCGGCATACCACCCCACATGTCGGTCACCTCGTGAGCCAGGTCCAGATATTTTGTTCGTTTATCTGTTTCGGCTTTCACGAGGTTCTCGTCATACGGAATGGTAATTTCGACCAAAAATATCCTTGACTGTGCCCGGTCCATCAGCACAATATCAGGCTTATTCGCAAGAATAGTCCTGTCTGTGATGATGGTCCGGTCCCAGTAGAGCCTAGCGCGGTCATTTCCGAGCACGGCTTCCGGCAAGTACTTGTAATACGGCAATGTTCGGTCCACGAGAACGTATTTCAGAGCGAGCTCCTGGTTGTAGAATTCTGGCTACTAGGTTGTGCCTGTGCAAGTACTCAGAGTTAGAAAGCGCCGAACAACCGGAGTTGACATGCCTAAGTGACTCCCCGGGATGACGACAAGCTCGACAGACGTCGACAGTGCCATCCTTTAGGATGTATCTCCGATAGTTGTTGGTCTTAATAACCTGATCCTGTATTGCACAGACAAAACCCTCGGTTTCCCCCGAAGAAGTCACCGAAACGTAGCCAGTTGAGGGAGGTGGCTGTATCTACGTGGGGCTCATGTAGAGCCCTGTAGTACCTCCCGTGGAGCTCCTTCTCCTTCCATACGGTCTCCCGGTCGGAAATGCTCTGTACTGCCGGGTCTTGCCATTGCTCGTTGGCTAAGGATAGAGGGGTAAGTCCTTTATCACAAAAAATGACGTCCTTATAGAATGGATCATCCGATCTCGCCAGGAAGTAATTACGGAGGCTGCACACGTCGCGATTATGCATGTGAGCGCGCACACGCCCACCATGCTTTCGTGGCAAGTACAGCCTCATTACTGACGATCTCGGATGGTGCATCCTATGGGACGTCATGGTAGTGCGGACTTTTCTATCCAGGGCGTTAAGTTCAGTCTGAGTCCACCAGAGTATGCCAAAGATATTCATGAGAACAGGCATGACCCAACCATTACATGCGTGTGTCTTATTCACACCGGACAAAAGGCTTTTAAGCACTTTGGTCAAGCGTGCAAAAACACGTCGCAAACTGACTGTTTCATACCAGCCTCATCGATACCGATGTTCTGTGACATACCCAGGTATCGGTATGTTTCAGCCTCGGAAAAGGTCCTTAAGTTGACGGGCATAGATAAGTCTATGCCCTCAGAGTTAGCAACCCTTCCCCTTTCAACATGGAGGACCGCACACTTATCCGTCCCCAGCTCCATTCCAATAGAATTGCTAAATTCACAAGTGATGTTTAGCAATTCCACAAAATGGGAGCGATTGGAGGCGAATAACTAGAGGTCATCCATATAAAAAGGTGGGTCACTTTTGTACCTCCTTTCCGAAGCTGAAATCCACTCCCGGAGCCCTCCAGTAAAGTACTGAGAGGGTTCAAAGAGAGGCAGAACCAGATTGGACTCAGACAGTCGCCCTGGAATATACTCCTTCTTATCCTTATGCGGCTTTCCGCAGCAGTCATCCGCTCGCCTAGATGACAGAGGATCGTACTCCACTGCTCCATACACTGCTCGAGGAAGTCTCGAACTGTACAGTCAATCTTGTACAGCTCGAGGACCCTCTTTAGCCATGTATGGGGCACCGAGTCAAATGCCTTTCTGTAATCTATCCAGGTGGCGGAGAAGTTCCGACGGTTGCGTTTCACCACTTTGCCAATGACCGCGTCAATGAAGAGTGATTCTTTGGTTCCACGACCGCCGCCCCGACATCCATTTTGAGCGCGCGACATCACCTGATTTGAGTCCAGGTGACGAGCGATTCTCGCGCTCAAAATGGATGTTAGTGTCTTGTATATGGTCGGTATACACGTGATGGGGCGGTATTTGCTCGGGGCTGTGGCACCCTGATCTTTAGGAACCAAATGAGTGATCCCAGTAATGAAAAGGCTTTGGAGCGACTTCTGGTTGAGAGCCTCTTGAAACTGTCGGGCGAGCACAGCGTGACGCACCATGAACCCCTTCAGCCAGTAGTGATGCAGCCCGTCAAGCTTCGGAAATTTCCAGTTCGGGGCCCTACGGGGCGCCTCATCTACGTCATCCGGCGTTATGATCACGGGGTACATGGGCGTAATACCTGCACACTGACTCGCCACAACTTCCGTCCAAGGGCCCTCGTTGTGGTTTACGGGCTCTGACCACAGGCTACACCAGAATGCGACCGTGTCACACTTACCATTGGCCGCTCCAAAGATTTATAGAGCCTCTTCTGATCACTCTGGAAGAGACGATTCTGGTTGAACCGTGTCGACCTCTCGGTATATCGCCGAATCCGCTTTCTCCAAGCAGCGGTTCTTTGCTTCAGATCGTTTATGCGCTTCGTCAGTTTTTGCATTATATCCGGCTGGGACAAACTAACATTTGTCCCAGCAAACACCATCCTGACGGTGCGCACAATTCTTGGCCTGGTATTGCCTGACCTGAATCATATCAGTCTGCCGATGAGGGTCCTAGCCTTTGCGATACGTTCTTTAATTCTTATTCTCCAGGCTATATAGCACTACTTTGTCCAGTAGCGCGTCCAGCCGTGGAAAGTTTGGCGCCTATAATACGGCAGACTGCCAGTGCGGCGCCAAAAAGAATTGAGTCCGTCTCGTAAAGGTCCCGGCTGGCTTCCAAATAGGTAGCCAGCATTGGGTTCAGAGCCCTCACGACAGCCCGATTCCGCTTGCTTAGGGCTATGCGGGGAAGTCGCGTTCGATTTTCGAGAGACGTACTGTGCGTTTCCACAATCGCATCTTCCAATGTACTCCTCATTTGCTCTAGTTCCAGCTCCTGGGCGACTGTTCCATCATCGTTTGAATCAACCACAACTGGGGTATTCACGGTGGCATCCACATTTGCCGTTTGCAAGTTGTGGTGCCGCATCCTCAGCCGTAACATTTTCACCCGATGAAGGAACAGCCTCACGTCGTAGCCGTTCGAGTTCGGTGACATCAAATGTATTTGAGCGCAAGATATACCGAACTCGGTCTGCCAGGTTTTGCTCGGTGGTCATGCAGCACCTTGCTCGGCTGGCGGTTCGCATGCTGTCGCGTCCAGCGCCAGCTCCAGACGCACCCTGGTGACCTCCAGGCAGCGGCCCTTTGCGCGTTCTATTTAATTCAATTATACATTTTTGAGGGCGCCATGTAGCGGGAGACGCCCAGACCCGGCGCCGTTTCATGGTGAGGCCATGTGCACAAGCGGGCCTTTGCACCTTCAATTTTTGCCGAGGCACGGCACTAACACCTCTTGGCAAGGTGCTGACTGACTGCGCTGACGTAGCGATTTTGTAACATAACAGCGTACGCTGTTTGCTTTTAAGGATTAATAACAGTACCCGGTTGACCGAGCTTTGCTCAGTACTTTTCGCTCAGTTTTTTTTAATTCGTGTGTTTTGGAAATTATATTTAAATACAAATTACATACTGATGAAATACGAATAACATTTTTTGATCTTAGCGACATAATAGAAAAAACTGAACTGGTTATTTGAATAAAAAATCATGAGTGCAATTTTATTTTAATTTAAATTTTCGTGTTTTTAAAAATACTAAAAAAGGGCTCGAAAAAATAGATTTTCTCAAAAAAGAAAGGAACTTGAAAAAAAAATTAAAAAAGTCGGTCGGTCTGGGCTCGAACCATGGTATTACGATTTTGTGACCGCCCAATATACCAATTAGGCTATTTGTAATCATTAATAAATTGTCAAAATTTACCTTCTTATTCTACCGATATTGTAACAGTTTTTCATTGCCTAAAAACACGGACAAAAAGACATTTTCTAAAAATAAATCCTAGCTAGATCGATTTATTGCCCCCGAAACTCCCTCCACACAAAATTTTATGAAAATCGTTGAATGTTGGAGGCGTTTCCGAGATTATATATATATATATAAGAATTGCTCGTTTAAAGGTATAGGATAGGCAAGAAAGCAAGTTGAACATTCGTTCTCACAATATTACTTTTTTAAATAATCTCTTAATGTCTCCTAGAAGAATAAATACATTTAACATCTATACCTGAACATTTTGATCATTACAATTCAAGTATATTTGCTTTCCCTACCTGTGATACCCTGCATTCTCGCCTATTCAATATTTATCGGACAGAAGATATAAGTAGATTTGGATGAGTAAGTGCATCAGTGTTTACATATAAGCCTATGACGTTAATTATATGTCCTTTGCGATTAATAGCTTCTAATGACATTTGAAGATAGTCACTATGATCGGTATCGACAAACACAATTATCATCATTATCACGAGTAACATCATTAGTTTAAGCATTTGGCAAGAAGCTTTATTGTTTTTTTTTTCTTTTATATCTAGCATGAAGTCCCGTTTTGAAGTCATAGATTCACTAGTTCGCAAGTGGCTGCTTAGGTACGGTGGTGACCCAAGCCATTACAAGAAACAAACTCGTGCCTTCGATGCACTCGCTACTTTAGCTGATCGTCTTATTAAACAACACGTAAGTCTAATTATATGGACCAGTTTAGTTTGCTCTTTGCTCATTTCGTTTATCTCATGTTGCATGTTATCATGTTAGCGTGGACAACAATCTAAAAGAATAAGATAATACTATATATGATGATGATGATTAAATAGCTTGATAACATAAAAATGGTCATATTTTTGCGTAAGATCCTTGAATCACAATCTTAGAATGGGTCTTGACACATCTTATGACCATTCCGTTAAAAACAAAAAAAAAATATGATTCCAAGTAGTACCTTCCATCAGTATATACAAAGGTTTCCGGGATCACCATTCGGAACGCATGCGGGCCCCATTCATCACTTTACTTGACTATTAGTCATCCCGCGTGTAGCAGCTATTATCCCCAGCACCCTCGGAGTGCTATCACGATATCTCGGGATCACACTCTCGGGTACATCACTAGGATTTAGCGCCCCCGCTCCGAACGACCGCGACCTCAGAGGCCCTGTTTCTGTTAGGTGATCACAGACACCAAGGCGTGGGCCGTGATGCAACGTCGTCTCTGAGCTGGATCCGTCTTCTCCGTGTCCCGCTTAGCAGCCTTCTTCTGGATCATAACGGATTCACAGGAGGTTGCTATGGTCCTCCAAGCGGAATCCCTGCTCAGCATCGCCGACAAATGGCCGGGAGAGGTTCCGCCCGATCCATTTTACCAGGATCATCCACTCTTGTTTTCACTCTGGACATACCGCAATAACATTTTTTTTATTAAACACCAATAGGCAGGTACATTTTAATGTAAAAATTAATGCTTTGCAAGTTTTGTTGTTTAAACAACGTTTACTCATTTTGGACAGAAATAACAATAATAGAGAGTGTATTCCATTAGATACAATAATTAAAAAAGAATTTTACCATTTTGAATTCTGCTTTAAACACATATTATCTATTTTAAAACAAGTTGGTCACTTATGTTTCAATACATTTTTTATACATATTATGCTTAAACTTTGTCAAAATGAATATTTTTGCAAATTATTCACAAAAACAATAGTTTAAGTTATTAAAAAATAATCAATAGCAGTCATACCATTTATTGCTTGTCTATTAGCTCAGTTAACGTGAAATACTATAACCACTAAATCTGATGGAAATAATTTATTACCAGAATCTTAGAATAAAGAATCCAGAATGTAAATAAAGGTAAAATAAATTACTTTTTTCTTAAAAAAACTAAAGTATTGTTTTCTTTAAAAAAAATATAACCCTGCTGAAAGAAGTGGCTAACAATACCCCCGAAATATATCATTACGTTTGGCAATGTTACAGTCAAAATTCAAACTTGTTTTATCAAAACCATATTATTGAGTCTGCTGTCGGTGTTCAGCAGGGTGATCCATTAGGTCCAGCTCTTTTCAGTTTGGGAATTCAACCTATTATTTCAAATTTAAAATCCAAGCTGAATGTCTGTTATCTGGACGACGGTACACTGGGAGGTAAAGCAGATGATGTCCTCAGCGATCTTACTTATATTTTTCAAAATTTTAAAAATATTGGTCTTGAACCAACCAACCAATAAATGTCAAATATTTATTTCTAATAATTTATCTAATTCTAACAGTGATACCTTAATTCAAAATTTCAATCACATTTCTCCAGGAATAAAAACTGTCAATTCGGAATCGCTTTACCTGCTCGGTGCTCCGTTGTTTTTCGATAGTATTAAACCTGTTTTAAAAAAAATTTGATCAACTTTTAAATCACGTTGATAAATTATATATCTTAAACTCCCATATTGCCCTGACTATTTTAAAATATTGTCTCCTTGTACCTAAATTTACATACTTGTTACGCTTAAGTCCAGTCTGGAAATGTTCAGATATTTTAAAAAATATTGATAGTAATCTTAAAATTGCTTTATAAAAAAATTCTAAATTTGAGATTAAATACAATAACCTGGAATCAAGCCACTTTACCTATCAAATTTGGTGGTATTGGTGTAATAAATATTTCTAGCGTCGCATTGCCTGCTTTCCTTGCTTCCGTGCATAGTGTTGTCTATGTAACACAATTTTAAATAATAAAGTAGGCCTGTGCTTTGCTGCGGAGGGAAGGCAAACATGGCTAACGCTCTGTACCGGCGAAAATGTCCCACTGGAAGTTAACCAACAAAAACAGTGGGATATTCCGTTGGTACGGAGTGTCCAGAAAAATTTATTTCAAAATTTCTACAGTCAACAAGATCAGGCTCGCCTTCTAGCTGTTTCGACTAAGGAATCTAGCCACTGGTTACATGCTCTACCATCAAGTAATCTCGGCACATTGCTTGATGGGGAAAGCTTGCGCATCGCCGTAGGAATCCGGCTAGGAGTGGCAATTTGTCAACCACACCAGTGCCCCTGTGGTAGCAGCGTCGATGAGTTTGGACTCCACGGACTTTCATGCAAGAAAAGTACAGGTAGGTTTTCCCGTCACGGTTCTTTGAACGAAATCATCCGAAGGGCTCTTGTCTCCATAAATATCTCCTCGGTTTTAGAGCCTTGCGGAATATTTAGAGTCGATGGCAGGAGACCCGACAGTATGACTTTGGTTCCTTGGGAGAGTGGTAAAGCCATAGTGTGGAATGCTACTTGCGTTGACACTTTGGCGGCCTCTCATCTCAAGGGTACCTCATCGGCATCAGAGGCAGCCGAATTTAGTAAATGGCGCAAATATGAGTCTTTGAGAAATGACTACATATTTGTGTCATTTGCTGTAGAGACTAACGGTCCGTGGTGTCCACGTGCAGTGAAGTTTCTAAAGGAACTGTATCCACGACTGGTCGTCGCTGCTGGTGATAAGAGGGCTGGTTCTTTCCTCGCTCAAAGGCTAAGTATAGCTATTCAGCGAAGAAACGCAGCCAGCGTTCTTGGCACTATACCACGGGGAGCAGGTCTTTTTGACTATTTAAATTTTTAGTTTTAGTTTTTCTATATTATAGTTTCTTTCTTTTTTTATATTGTATATAATTAGTATTAATCGTAAATATTATAATTTTAATTATTATTTTAGTTAAGTTTCTTATAACTAATTAATATTTTGTCAATACATTAAATATTTTCTAAAAAAGTTCAACAATTTATTTTCGAAATATAACTGAACATCTAATGCCATTTTGGATTTTTGTCCAACTTTACACAGTTTTGTTTATTAAACTATACGTTAATTTTATTTTTACTTCGAAATAATCGCAATCACGTACCTACTTACGTTTTTACACACAAATCTTTATGTTATTTATTGTAATAATATTGAATACATCGATTTAACCGTGACTACTATTTTGAATTATTTTGTCCGACCCAGTTTTAATATAAAATGACATAAATGAGATAAATTTTGTCCATTTGAAAAAGAACAGTATTTTCAAATTACATCCTATAATTTTTTCAAAATTGTTAAAAATAACTTTCAGGTAGAAGCGATGGAGGGTACCGAATCCAAGTCTTTGGCAGCTATAAAGTCACTAGAAGAAGCATTAAAGGAGATTTCAGATAAGAAGCAATCTCTTCATGAACGCCTCGGTCCAGCTCTAGCGGCGTTGTTACATACAACTCACATGTCTTATTTAGGTAAATTTTTCAGTAAATCTCATTTATAATCGTTTTTGGATAGTTAAAAGTTGAGTAAGCTAAAAGTTGTAACTGTGACTGTGTTTTTAGTTTAAATATTTTAACGTTTAATACACCGCCCATATAGAACATGATTCAGATGAAAGACTGTTTAAAAAAAATATTACCAGCCAGTATTCACTATAAGATTAGATGAGTTAAGACAGAGTTAGTTTTTATAAAGTAATATTTTAAAAAACATATTACCAGCCAGTATTCAGTATAAGATTAGATGAGTTAAGACAGAGTTAGTTTTTATAAAGTAATATTTTAATAAAAATATTACCAGCCAGTATTCAGTATAAGATTAGATGAGTTATGACAGATTTAGTTTTTATAAAATAATATTTTAATAAAAATATTACCAGCCAGTATTCAGTATAAGATTAGATGAGTTAAGACAGAGTTAGTTTTTATAAAGTAATATTTACTACAGCAACTGAAGAAACCATGACGTCGCTTGTAAACTCTCTAATGGCAGGTGACCGGCAATTTACGGCCGAGTCCATTGACCGCATCCAACTTACAGACGTTGTCAATGACATTAAAGGTAAAAATACATAGTAACAACATATTTTGTAAATAATAATTAATAATATTTTTTAAATAAAATACCTATTTCCCATATGAATACTGAAAAAACAATACTTTTATGTACACAACCCATATGTTATACATCATTTATTTCTTTTATCTAGATTGTGGTGTTCAAGCTCCATTAGAAGAACTAGAAAATATTGTAAGAATAGCTGTTGACTGTCTGCGATCGCAGCTTTTGGGACCAGAGGAGGCGAGGCACTTAGACGCAGAAGTTGAAAAAGCCTTATCAATTGAATCATTTAATAACATAAAATAAGTAAAATGACTTGTAAATTTATAAATTGTTATTCTAATTTTTATTTATCCATAAGTACTTAAAGGTCCCCCCCTATGACCGTGACTTATCTATAATGGTACGGTGACGCTAAGTACTTAAAACATTACCAGTAGAAATACATTATTTTAATAGAAATATTGATTGAACCTGGTCTTACGTTATTTTGCTTGTTAAATAAGTGGCATAATAAATTTCTTAAAATGTAACCCTCACATGCTCGAGACGAGTTCATTCGAGACGTCCACGGTGTGATGAACATTTTAATATTTTAAAAAGTGCTTATTTAAAATATTTGTTAATAAGCTAATAAGCTAATAAGAAGCTAATAACATTTACAATTATTAATTTGACTATATCTTTTCTATTCTTAGCTATCACTAATTAGTCCAATTGTGTAACTGTGTAACTTTCGTTATACGTATTGTTTAATCGAAACGAAGTCAATAAATAATTTTTGTCAACTGGGTATTATATAATTTAAATTATAACACAACAAATGAAAAGTTACATATGCCTAATGATCAAACTTCCGGAACACGAAATTAATTCGTGAGCTCTAAATTCATCTGCAATTAGACTGCTGACATTAACCACCATTGTAGCTACAAGTCCCACTACTACGCACAGTCCTCCACTAATTTCTGAGAAGGTTTTAGAGGAAAGAAATCTCCATCGCGCTGCCCCAATGCGTGTTGGCGGAATTCACGTCTGGAAAATATTTATTTTTAATTTCTCAGACATGCAGGTTTCCTCATGGCGTTTTCTTTCATTGCCGAGCACATAGTAAATCAGTACTTAAAATTACAATTGACAATTTTACCGGAGACTGCGGCGATCGAACCCAGTTTGCTCTCGTATACAGCGAGTGCTTAACTCCTGAGCTACCACAGCACCTAAACGCAATTTAAAATATTAAGATAAAATACGCGGAACCACACACTATTCTTTACTTAAAGTTAAAGTTACAGCCTATATATCGGTCTCACTGCTGAGCACAGGCCTCCTATCATTTCTGAGAGGGTTTTAGGGCAAGGAAATGTCCGCCGCGCTACCCTAATGAATGTTGGGCGAACTTAACATTTCTTCGAGATATTTTTTCTTATTTCTCAGATATATACAGGTTTCCCCTCGCGATGTTTTTATTCACCGCCGATCACATAGTCAATCAGCACTTAAAATTGTAATTAACAATTTCATTGGTGCCGGTGGGGATCGAACCCGAGTTGCTCGCGTACTGTGAATTTACAGCGAACGCTTATCTCTTGAGCTGCCACGGCTTTTTACTTAGAGCTCGTAAAATATGGACCATTTCTCATAGTCATATCTACGTAGGTACTGATTTTCAGTCATTACGAATCATCTCGTACGCATACTTGTCGACTTGGCATCCGACCAAGCAAGCCGGTTTATAAAATAGCTTTTACGCGAAGTAGGTATCTTAAATAAAAGAGAATAATCTGCTGATATGTGTGGTGTATGAGGACTGTGAGAAATTCAGCCGAAATTCAGACACGGTGCAACAGTCCCTTCGGGTATGAAGTGTAGAGATAAGGAGTACAGACTCTGTATAAAAAAGTGTCCGTAGGGAAGCGCTAAATAAGGGTGGCGCCCCTGTAGCTACAGTCTAAATTTTAAAGAACTTTATAATTTTTTTATTGCATAGACTTTCACCATAATTCTTTTTACAATAATTATTTTATTGATTTCAAAATTTTTATTTTCAAAATCACTCTCAACGTATTTTAAGGCGATTTATCATACCCTGTAGCTACTCGAGCGCTGTTGTGGAGAGTTTTTGAACTGTTATTTACCGCTTACCACTGACCTCTATATATACAAGTACGCTGGACTGGCTATACCATACAAAATGACTGTGCCAATGTGAAGCGCCGCTATAGGATGTCTTGAAAAATAAAATTGACATAATATGCCGAAGTATGTTGTCTTATTCATATGTTTATGGTTGTCATTTTTAATAAGTCTGTATTTTGAACTTTTAAACTAAAAAACTAAAGTATTATGTTGTTTTTAGAGCATAGGGGTAGTTTAGGTAGAGTTGTCATGTGAAGGTTGTTTCATTGTGTATAATATTAATTACATAATAAGAATTATTTTTATTAATAATGAGAGTGTGCGTAATCTGTAAAACTCGTTACCAAAAGGGGAGCGGTATAACATTTCACAAGTACGTGATTTTGCAGTAAATATTAAACAAATTGAAACTATTTGATAATATAAGTACTTAGAAATTTGTTACTAATCTTAATATCATATATACCAACTTTTTCATATTTGGCTGTATATTACTGTTGATTGCTGAGTTTTGATAAACAATAAAATTCAATAGGGTTGTCGAGATCCTTGTCTATAATTATCTGTTCTCCTACCCATATCTGTTAACAAACAAAGTCACCAACAACAGATGATTATCAAATGTTTATTAACAGGTTTCCAACCGAACCTAGACTAAAATTATAGCTTAAAATCATAAATATTGTGAATTGGCGTCTGAAACAAAATGATTATATTTGTTCCAAACATTTCACAGACGACTGTTTTATTAGACATGGAAACTGCACCATTTTGAAAAAGTGCAGTATACCGACAATATTTTCTGGTAGTACCAGTACCAAGCACTACCAACTACCAAGTACCAACTATGAGATTATTGTTTCGGATGTTTTTTATTTCCTCATTTTCCACCAAACTCAAGGGCCATAGCCAAGTGTCGAAAAGTCGCCTGTTGATGTCGAGCCACGTTAGATGTGTGTTAGTGGGCTGCGGCTTGAAGAGATTCCTCTCCCTGTACCGCTATGGTCGAGGTAGAGTCGTAAGGAAAGAGGAGTGTTGGTATGGCGATTGGCGATGCGCTACTCGACTGTCTTTCGCGACTTTCGTGAGGCTGCACCACTTGATGCTTCCAAGTGCTCGTTTTTCCCTGGCGCCATTCACATATCGGGCTCGGTAATTGATAATTTCAGTTATTTTTTTTATATTGTAATTTTAATTTCGAAAATGACTTTGTAAATAACTGATAACTATGTAAATCAAAGTTTAAATTTTTTTATATTATCTTGCTAGCTTGCGCATTGCTGCCGCAGAGGAAGTAATTGTGGAAATATCGTTAAAATGTGGAACAGTTATATTGTATAATTGGGAATGATAATACAATCATTGAAATAGAATGATATATAACTTCCTATAACTTTCAAATAAATAGTCAGTATAATACGCACGCTACCTAGTGTCAGTTAATTGTACCATGCGTATAACCTTCGCACAAGTGCAACCAATAAGTTGACTAAGTTTTACCACAAACTGATAAACGGTATGGCATCGTAGAAAGTACGAACAAACATAAATTTTTATATAGTAGAAAATATTTTACTGTCTATAGACAGACCTGTAGTTGATTAGAATAGGCGTTATTATAGCAGCTGATTTGTTTTTTGTAATACTAAAACTAAATGAACGGTTGACAATAAATTATTCTAGAAATTATGTTTTTATTTTTATTTTGTGTACTTAGTTTAATCTAATAATTTTTTAGTTGAGTACAGAACCAGAGTACAAAACTAATCCAACTCTTGAGATGTGTAAGACAGGGTGACGTAATATCCCCGAAATACGAGTACTTTACCACTGCATTGGAAAACGTTTTCAACCTACTGGACTGGAAAGGATACGGTATTAACGTCAATGTCATGCACGTCACTCACCTTCGATTTGCGTATGGGATATTGCGATTTGAATATGGGATAATCTCTGGAGGACCTACGCACTATGTTCAACGACCTCAATAGTGTCTCCCAACGGATAGGTCTTAAGATGAACATGAACAAAACAAAAGTCATGTGTAATGTTCATGTCACTCCTATGCCGGTGGTTTTTGGGAGCACTTAGCTAAAGTTGTTGATGAGTATTTTTATTGAGACAAATAGTCCGACTAGGTAAGGTTAACTTCGACCGACAGGTCAATCAACGGATTCAACTTGGCTAGGCAGCGTTCGGGAGATTACAACACATCTTCTCGTCAGGAATACCTCAAAACTAGATTGTACAACCAATGCGTGTTGCCAGTGATGATATATAGATCTGAGACGAGGTCTTTCACTGCTGGCCGTAGAAGGAAGCTCGAAGTCGCTCAACGAGCTATGAAGAGAGCTGTGCTCAGGGGTTCAAACTTAGGAATGAGGATATCTGCAGCAGAACCAGAGTGACCGACATCGCCCAATGGATTAGTAAGCTGAAGTGGCAATTGACCGGCCATATAGCTCGAAGAACCGAATACCGATGGGAAAAAAAGGTTCTCGAGTGGCAGCCTCGTACTGGCAGGTGGAGTGTAGGACGTTCCCCCACTAGATGGAGTCAAAACCTGGTAAGACATGCAGGAAGTTGATGAATGCGGGTAGCTCGGGACCGTGCTTTGTGGCATTCCTTGGGGAAGGCTTATGTTGTGAATTTGTGAAGGGTTTTAATGATGATGAATGATAATGGCATTATATTAATATGATACATAAATAGAATGGACGTTACGGGTAGGTTCCATCTATCCATAGAATCCATTCTATTTATTTAGGTATAGGTAGGGTATAGAATTTTTATCGAAATAATTTGGTACACTGTCTTATCCCTAGTATTAGTTCCGTGGACGTGCACTTCTGCTGTCAGCGCCAAAATGGCGGAAATTAAATCGCTTCATCATGTCACGATGTATGGCCAGTCCAGCGTTCTTGTATATATAGAGGTCAGTGCCGCTTACGGAAGGACACATTTTCAAGTTTTCAACTATTCTCTTATGGGAGATTGTCCTCCTTACATCTATACTCCATGCTTTCGGGGTTGCCAAATTGACAGTCGGTACGAAACCATAGATTTCGTATAAACTGACGTAAGAGTAGATTGGCAATGTAAAATAGAAAGAGCATAGTGTACGCGTATGTTAGGACTAGAAAGATAGGCAAGACTTTTCACGTAGA